GGCGACGACTAAAAATATTTCCGTTAAAACCCGAGTAGTTGCTTGTGATCAGAAATTCAGTTGTCTGCCACCACTTAATTCGTCGTTGACGATCAAGAAAAGGAAGAAATTAGTCAAACTCGACAGACAGTTCACTCCTACGTGACTTCTTTTTTTTAAATAATTATTTGGTCATCTTCACTTTTATGATTAACATTTTATTCATTCAAATAATTTTTAAAGACCAATATAATGTCTAATTTGATTAAGTAGATGTCTTTTCGTTCTCATCGAATAAGAAGGTATCTGGAAAATTTGAACGAAATCGCTGTATTCGAAGTGTGTCAAATTCAGTCACAAGATTTTCCACAAACCTACAAAAAGCAAACAAACAAAAGCTTGTAAAAGCCAGTCTAGCACGAACTAGATATAGTTCCGGCATTAATTAAGCCGCGCTGTCGCGGAGTGTTTTCTGCCTGAACACGCCAGAAAAAAAGTACCCTTTCGAACCTTAAGGTCCATGGGGCACCTGTTAGTTCACCTGTTTCAATTACCTTGGGATGAGGATAGTGTGGTCAGCACTATCAGAGGCGTAGCAAGGTGGGGGCGGGGGTTGCGGACCGCACCGGGTGACACCATTTAGAGAGACGACACCAAGGCAAAAAAAAAAGAGCAAAATATATAGAGAAAAATGATAATTCCACTTAATTAAGTGATTAATTCGAGTGTTAAATAGTCTTTTAAGAGGTGCAAATCGAAAGTTTGAAGGGGGGGGGGGGGCGGGGGCGGGTGCAAATCGAAAATTGAAAGAGGGTCGCTACGCCTCTGGGTAGGGGGGGTGACACCTTTAAGTGCCGCACCGGGTGACAACCGACCTTGCTACGCCACTGAGCACTATGTCCAGCCGCCTTTACTTTTCCTAACGTGAGTCAGGTTCCCATCAGAGCTGAGTGGACTAAGGACGTCTTACGGACTCAAGGCCGGGATCCGAACTCGAGACTTTCGGGTCAGCAATCAAATGCCAGATCTTACAGGTTAATTTCCAGTATTTTACCTCCTAACCTTTGACCCCCTCCCTGCTTACATAATACAATACATATTCATGAATATTATCAAAACAATAATACTTGCGTTTATTGCATCACATTTGACATTGTCATTAAAATCTTAAATAAAACAAGGATAGCAGAGGTCACGTTAGATTAGCATTTAGCAGACGAGAGAACACAATAACTCACATCTCCCGCCATTAAAATGTCCGCAGCCGTGGCCTCGAAACCACTGCAAAATTTTAAAATCCCAATCCCCTTTCTAAAAACAGAGTGTATTCTGTATTCAAACATGCATACATTTACCTTTTTTTTTCATCTGTTTATTGCTACAAAATCCTCCCTATATTTTTCCGTCCAGCATGCGACAGGCAAATAACTGTCAGTGTATCTCTGCGCGGCTGTAACTCGCCTTTTATTTGTCTTTAACCTTCCGCAACTTTCTGTGCTGCCATTAAAACTTCCTCGCAAGACTTCCTTCTTCGCACAAGTCATCGTCCACCTCTGCCGACGCACAAATCCTTCTCCTACGCACAAATCATCCAAAGTACGCACAATTTTCTTACGCATAAGTCTTCCTCAATATATCATCGTAGGCTCAATATAACATCGCCCTATGCTCAAATCCTCCATATACGCACAAGACTAACTCCTACGCACACATACTAAGTACACACAATTTTCTACCTCTTCTGCACAAATCATCGTACTCTGCACATCATCCTCCTACGAACACAGTTTCGTCTACGCACACGATTTCCACCTACGCACTGAAACTAAACACGGTGAGTCAAATCCTATTGTCACTATATGGCCGAGAAATCTTTGTTATTACAAGTTTTATTTAACGTGCTTCCTCTGTCTGTCTTTCTTTCTGTCGTCATAGATTGAAACTGCTGAACGAAATTTTGAACACTTCTAACTGACCGATTCGTTTAAACTTTGCACGATGGTCAAGACCCAATGACAATGCAATCTGACATCGAATTAGACTGATTTGGAAAATGAGGTGGCAAGACAATGTGCAAAATATAGCTATTTAAATAGAAATGTGTTATTATATATTTAAAGAAAGTCATTTATTTTCTCCTTTGTACATTCTTAAAGATTGTTATTGAAACTTTTTTTATGTTTTATTTTTTTTTATTTATCGTCAACTAATCATTGTTATATGGGACGGTGTGGTTGAAAGGTAACGCTTACGTCTGCTAACTCAAAAGCCTCGAGTTTGAATCCACTACCATATCAAGCATCCAGATTATAATTCCGCCTTCAACTCCATCATCTCTCTGACTCCAAACACCAACAGCAACTACTCCAGCTCGCAACGCCATCCATAAACAGCATTTTTTCATCAGCTTCCAATACCATATACTCCATGCAGTTGCGTAGGCAGGAAAGTGGTGGGGTGTTTCCTGTGTTGAAATCCCACCCCACTGCTAACAGCCATCCCTGCTGTCAATACTTGGCAGTCCTAAATCAGTGCTCAGTGTTGCAAATGTATTGACCACATTGACTTGACTTAATCCTCTTTATTCCTTGTGGAGCATAGGGCCTCAACTATAACCTTCCATTTTGTCCGGTCTCCGTCTGTAAATTTTGCAACCTCCCAAGACATTCCTGTTGGCTTCAGTTCTTCGAGAAGACTCCGCCTCCAGGTCTGTCTTGGGCGCCCTTTCTTTCGTTTTTCCTGGGGGTTCCACTCAAGCGCCTGGCGTGTCACATTAGAGTGAGACTTTCGCAGTGTGTGTCCCAACCAGTGCCACTTCCTCCTTCTTAATTGCACCGTCAAGTCCTTGTTCTTCTCCTTAAGTCTATATTCGGCACTTTGTCCCGCCACCCACATTTCAAAATCTGTCTAAGACATTTGTTTATGAAGGTCTTTATCTTCTGTGTGCTTGCTCCATACAGCAAAATTGACCATTAAATTAAATGATACCCCCAGCTCCACCTTTCTCCTCCCTTATCCGCCCTTTACCCCTTCACAACCCCCAACCCTCCCCACACCCAACCCTCCCCACCCCCCCTCCCTCCCCACGCATTAACAAAGTTTAAATGCCCAGTTCTGTTTTTTTTTAGATGCACACAATTTTTTTTATCACCGAAGATAAAATAAATAATCTCCAACCGTCAGATGTCACAGCGATGTCAGGCGGCCATCAACCGATGTAACGCACGAAGATGTCATAAATGTCATTGACTGTCAGCGCTGCAGGCGGCGTCAGATGTCAGGAGGGGCCAGGGACAACATGACACTAATGACAGCAGCTGGAGGTCAAAACGTATGACGCAAGACTTGGAGGGTCATAACGATCTCGGTACACGGGGGATGAGTAGGGGATTTGTGTAGCCTTAAAAAAATGTCTGAAAGAAACACTGCCCCGATAGTCTAACACGCGTTAACACTTGGGACATATTTACTATACATGTCTAGAAAAAACAATCTTCGCCACGCCAAAAATTAATTTTATTTGAATTGGAGGGGGGGGGGGAGGGGCTACTGACTTATTGCAAAGTTGTTCTTTCTAGACATGTCTATACATATCGCAAGTGTAAACGCGCGGACACTTCCAAAGCGGTGTTTCTTTCAGACATCTCCCCCAACTTAATTTTTGGAGGTGGGGCGAAGTATATGTTTTCTATACAAAAATTATATATTTTTTTCTATTTCGTCATGAAGGAGCGGAGGCGGTGGGTGTGCTTAAAGGAAGGGGTACTGTGCCTCAGCCCCCCCCCCCCCTTACAAAGAGATGCCTGAAAGAATCTCTACTTCGGGTCAACGTTTGTGCGCTTCCCCACTCGACTACCTTTTACCCTTTCCATACTTATAACCCAAGTACGCTTTCTCTCATAAGCCATGCACGTACATAAAATAGTTTCAGTAATAAATTCAAGAGTACGTCAACCACAGTCTGGCTATATAAATTAATTATTTATTGTTATATATGGCACCGTGCACATATTATATAACACTAAATGTGACAAATAAATCTGACCTACCACATATGCATCTCATTATACACGACCCCTCATATATAAAATAGTTTAGGACTCCTGTCCTAACAAACCAGGACACAAGGATGATCAACCACTACCTCCTATATGTATATATATGTATATATATATATATATATATATATATATATATATATATATATATATATATATATATACATATAGGCCCTATATATATATATATATATATATATATATATATATATATATATATATATATATATATATATATATATATATATATATATATGTAAAACTGATATCATTTGTCCTTAAATATTTTATCCTGAGCTCATTTGTCCGTGAGATATTTTGTCTGGGATATTATGTCTGAGGTCATTTGTCATGGGACCATACACACAGGCACATAAACATAAAAATATTTTTATATACTCCAAAATAGGATATATATATATATATATATATATATATATATATATATATATATATATATATATATATATATATATATATATATATATATATATATATATATAATATATATATAAATAAATATATATATATATATATATATATATATATATATATATATATATGTATGCATATATATATATATATATATATATATATATATATATATATATATATATATATATATATATATATATATATATATATATATATATATGTATGTATATATATATATATATATTGCTATGCAACGTTGGTTGGTTTCTATAGCATGAATAGCTTGGTGAAGCCAGGTAAACTAGATAAACTAGCAGCAACATTTTATTTCTAATGACATAACACATTTGAACCTCGGCTAACCACGCACCAGAAACCCTGAACGCGCCATTGGTTATTACAGGACCTTCCAAGATGGCCGAGTCACGTGACGTCAACCAAGCGCGCGGTGGGGGTATCGTGAACTTGACACCCATCTGCCGTCTGGGGGGATATTTAAAAGCATACACCCAAAGCTCCGTCGAAGCTGTACACGAAATAATACGAAGAATTTCTTTTGGAAAACATAGCCTTGGCTACAGATAAATAAAAGACATGGAAACTAAATTGATGAACTGTGTGCTTCAATTCGTCTGCTTCATAGGTAAGTTGATCAAAAATGTTTATTGCATTTTTTAAAATAAATGTGAATAACTATGCCTAAAATGTGTTTGTCAAGCAAATATATTTAGGGGCCTATTTCTAAATTCATATTTAATTAGCTTGTATGCAGCTTCAGATCAGAGTTTCTTCGAGGCATCTCTTTGGGGGAACTCCCCCCACCCCCTCCCTAACCCCACTGCCTCCCTAACCCCACCCCGAGAGGTTCGGATACCCCCCCCACACACACATCCCAGAACAAAATATAATTTATAAAGAAAATTAATACTTTTACCAGTGTCTCCCCCCCCCCCCCGGAAAATTTAGCCCGTTTCCCTCACCTCCCTCCCCCCCCCCCCCGGAGAAAAACTCTGAAAGAAACACTGTTTGAGATCACTTTATTAGCTGCACAAGTCAAAACTTAGACTAATTTTTTAAAATCATTTTCGATTCAATTTGCTGTCCTATTCAAACTTTAGAAAGGCTCTCAATTACTTGTCAATGCACAACAACGCACACAAGCAAAACTGTTTGTGACAACTACCTCTGGGTTTATGCTTAGGCAACACAATGTCTTGTATAAAAAATACGTCTACAATCTTTCCTTGCCCTTCAAATGTCAATGTCTTGTTGCTTCTTCTTCTTCGATCTTAATTCTAGTGATGGAAGGGATCCCCTCCAACACAATTAAGTATTCATGTCAACTGGTTATGCGCCATGAGACCATTGACTCCGATTTCAGCCTGCTTTTCTTTTTAACACGTTTTTATTAACTCAGCTTCGCGTTTGTGTGTTTGTTGTTAAAATTGACATCGAAAATTAGCCCACTTCTGATTGCTCTATACATCTGAAATTTGGCATGCAGGTTACTTTCGCCTAACAATTTCAGATGCAATCATAAAAACTAGCAATTAGAGACCGTAATTAGCTTAATTTAATTACGCCCCAAGGACCATAAAATTGAGGACATGATTTCTAAGATACCGACAAGACTGGAGGCTTATTGACACAGTTACTTCGGCCCCAATCGATGTGAGCGCGCTGGCCGTGATCGTATAGTGGTTAGTACTTCGCGTTGTGGCCGCGACAACCCAGGTTCGAATCCTGGTCGCTCAAGATTTTTTTAGTCCGTGTATTTATAAACACTTAGTCAATTCATACTTAATCAAGTCATTAGATAAAGTAGAAAATAAACTATATAAAAAACTTTTTTAAAAACCACGTTTTTCATGTGTAGCAACGGACTAAAAAGGAGAAAATAAAATACTTAAAAAAAACTTTTTAAAAAACCACGTTTTTCTTGTGGACTAAAAAGTAGAAAATAACTATTTACATACATTTGATGACAAAAAACGTGGGTCGGGCAGATGGGTCGGGAAATTTGATGGTGAACGTACCCACGTTTTTTGTCATCAAATGTATGTAAATAGTTATTTTCTACTTTTTAGTCCACAAGAAAAACGTGGTTTTTTAAAAAGTTTTTTTTAAGTATTTTATTGGATTTGCTTCCATAGCCTTTGTCCAACCAAGAACAAACTACAAGGCAGCAGTTGTTTGAATTTGGAGTTATCTCTCCTAGAAGAGTTGCTGTCCCCAGCTATCGAGCCTCATCTGCCGGGGGTTTCGAACTCGGGACTTTACGGTTCAACAACCATAAACGTAACCGACCCGACCACGCCGACCTCCCCTGTGTCTTGTAAATGTCCACAACGTTTCTCGCTATTTTCAAATGTCTATGTCTTGTATATGCTCACAGCTTATCATAACGTTAAATGTTAATGTCTAGTAAATGTCCACGGCTCTTCTTGTCGTTCAAATGTCAATGTCTTTTCCTTATTCACAGCCCTTCTAGACGCTCAGAGCTCAATGTCCTACCCGCAACAGCCGTCATACCAGCCACAGCCGTTTCCGCCTGAGCAGCCGTACCAGCCGTCACAACAGCTTCCCTACCAACAGCCGCTACAGCCGCAAGTATATCCATTGGATCCGAACCAACAACCACCAGGCTTCAACATCAACAGGCAATACCCCGAGCCATATTCCCCTGGGTACGAGTACGAAGTAGTGGAGTACGAGCATCCCACCACGCCGAAACCGCTGCCGCATCCACCGCCTCCACCAGGGTTGTATCCACCACAAACTTTCACCGCTGTCAACAGCTCTCCCGTGTCCGACCAATATCTTTCACCCAAGGTTCAAATCCCACCCAAGGTTCAAATCCCTCCCCAGCCGAAAGCTACCCCCCGTCAAATCGGACAACCAGAAAATAAATTTTATCCAAAAACTACGGCGGTCCAGAATAAACAAATATTACAATCGCAAGTCAACGCTTTAAACAAAGCCGCGAACCTAGCCCATCAACAATTTTTTTCAACGCTACGAACTCAGTTATTACTGGCCCAGCATCGGAATAAGTTGGCCCAGAACCAGTACAATCTGGCATATCGAACCCCAGCCAGTTACCATACGACGCAGCAAATTTATCAGCCCGCGTACAGGCCCAACGATCCGGTGAAGGAGGTGTATGAGATGCTATCGACGGGGGAGGTGAAGTGTAAATCCTTGTACCACATCCACAACTTTGACTACATGGCACAGCAAACGTCGACATGCGGGCAGACGTTACGCTGCCCCGCGCCCTACAGCCAGGAAGTCCAGATGGGCAGCGTGTGTATGTGCTGCCCTTACTTAGGTAAGTGATGCCCTTACATACTACATAGGTAAGTGATGTTCTTACTTAGGTAAGTGATGCCCTTACTTAGGTAAGTGATGCCCTTACTTAGGTAAGTGATGCCCTTACTTAGGTAAGTGATGCCCTTACTTCAGTAGTAAAGAATCATCTTTAGACCTAACGATCCATTTGGGCAGATAAAATAGAGTTCATGTTTTTTTTTACCTCGGCATATGAAGGTAAGTAGGTGTAACTTTAAATACAAGCTTTGTTCGAGTTGGGACGGCGTGGTCTAGTGTTAGAACGAGCGCTGCAAACCCGAAAGTAATGCGTTTGGTACCTGGGCTAAAGACCGTAATTTGTTCCTCGACCTAACCACGCATGTCCAATCCAGATGATTTGATCAGCGTTTCATCCAGACTTTTTTCTCCGGGAGGGGGGGGGGGGGACGACGACGGACAATGGTAAAAGTATTTCATTTCGTTCGGGGGGGGGGGGTAGACTTTCTTGGGTTAGGGGGCGAAGAGATGCCTGGATGAAACTCTCGATTTGATGCACTCGGTTGGAGATTAAAGTCTGTCGGTCTGTCTGGCTAATGAGCAGTGCTGAATTGGAAAGATTATCATCTTTTCCTTTTTGTGCCCAAGACACATGGTACAGCTACAGAAAGCTCCTCCCACGTTTGTCGGTCACAGGCAATTTCCCTGGCAGTCCTACATGACAGTCTTGCCTCTGCCAGCTGTTTCCCCGCCGTGCGCCTCCATGTCTCCCTAGGCCGGATAGGAAAGATAGAAAGAAAAAAAAAAGATGTAGAGATCAAGTTAGGATGTTCGATCTTTTCCAAATAAACACACCAAAACTTCAGCCCCTGCCACCCAAAAAAAGATTTTAAAAAGAGGATTTTAAACTTACACTTTTAGTTTTAAACCCTAACCCAACCCTAACCCCACTACAAGAGGCGGATAAGGAGTTATTATGGCTTGCGTGTAAAAATTCCAATGTCTAGACATCAGAAATAGGTCAAGGTTGCGTACGTGAATTAAATTGGAGCTGGCAAAAAGTGGCGGGGCTTAACTTTTCGAACTTTTCGCCCGTGCACTTTTTGTATTAGTGGCGGGGCTTAACTTTTCGCCCGTGCTCTTTTTGATTTAGTGGCGAGGCTGATCTGGAAAAGATCCGGATGTTCTTTACAGTAAATGTCTTGATCGTGAATAGGCTACACTTCCACTTCTAATGAGCTCTGGGTGAACAGTCATTTCTAACACATCCGCCAATTTCACTCACAGTGTTTAACATTGGAGTTTTGTTATAAAGCCATCGGTAAAGTCTGCGGCATTTAACAAGTATAATAGTTAATGGTTGACAAATTTTTATACAAATGTTTTCTCTCTTCCGATACCCCCCCCCCCCCCCCCCGTAAAACGACCTAGACAACAGTAGCGTAGCGAGGGGGGGACATATGTCCCCGGGCGCCGACCTTAGGAGGCGCCAAAATGGGTTGGAAAAATAAATTGAAAGGTTGAGGGGGGTGAAAATCGAAAGTTTGGGGGGGGGGGGTGCAAATCGAAATCTCGAGGGGGGTGCAAATTGAAAGTTTGAGGGGGGGGGGTGCAAATTGAAATCTCGAAAGGGGGGGGGGTGCAAATCGAAAGTTTGAGGGGGGGGGGGTGCAAATCGAAAAGTTTGTCCCCGGGCGCCGGGAAGGGTCGCTACGCCTCTGCTAGACAAATCAACCTGAAGAAGCAGGCCCGTTAAATGACTCCAGTAATAAGACAGTCAAAATAGCCCTAACAAGAGGGCTTTCGACAAAATGGTGGACTACATAATGCATCTGACAAAAGAACCTCAACATGGCGGCCGCTGAAACATTTCCCGACAAAATGAACCCGAACTATACGGTTCCCAAAGATTTGGTTTCAACAGAATTGTCAATATGGCCCCCTTACAAAAAGTTCCCCATTAGGGATTTCAGTAGTCAAAAAAGCGTCTAGACTGTTAGACGTGCTTAGGAGCCAGGATTTATGTAGGTCTGTAACTGTCACCTCGCCTGACTGTGTAGGGGAAGAACAGCACAACGGCAAATAATTTAATATATTAACAGAAACAGACTATAATCAGGGTTTCTTTCAGACATTTTTTCCGGGGAGGGGGGGGGGCTTGAAACTTAAGGAGGGGGAGGGTTGTGCCCACTGGGGTGGCGATGTATGACATAATGGAGGGGTCAGAACAAGGTTAAGAAAAAAATTAATGTCGAAACACAGGGACCTACGTTTTGTATTTCTTGAGAACAGAAATAAGAGGAAAAAACACGCTAGCTTGTATTAGATTTATAGGTAGTTTAGGAGAGGAGTAAACTTTATTGCATCATTTAAAGAGGGAGTCTAGCTTTTTCGGATGACGCATTCAGGAATAAGGTAAACCGGACTAAAATATTATGACGTCAATTACGACGACCCTTATTAGCAAGGTTTTACGATACCTCTAAGTTCCTTTTTTTGTGTGAATAATTACACAGGCTTAGTCTGTCATAAGTCACATACTTTGCATAAATTAGTCTAGTTTTTCTACTAATACTTTTTTTTTTACTTTTTTTTCAGATCCAGCGACTATGAACGCTTTACGGATGCGCCCCCAACTATAGTGATGTAAAGCTACCCAAAATCTTTCAAGTTATTTATATTTTCATGTAATTTTATAATAAAATCACTCAAAGGTTTGTAGTGTTTTTTTTTGTTGTTGTTTTTTCTTGTATTTTCTAAAATTAATTTTTTACGCAAAGTGGGCTGCAAGCTTTCGTTTAGAAAAGTAAACACCGGTTGTGCGGGTTTTGCTGTTAGATGTAAGAAATTTTCTCAGAGAAAAGATCTGTAAAACTTAGATCCAGATCTAAGATAAACGATGTCGCACTCCAAAGGGGGGAGTAGGTGGCGGAATAGTGTAACAAGGGGTGGGGATATCAGAGTTTCAGGCATATGGAGAATTACCAGTGTAAAAACAGTTATAAGCTAATGAGAGAAAATAAAAACACTTGTTCTAGAGTTTGGGATTGCGAAAGAATTCACAGAATACGGTCCAATCTTCAACGTCATCATTGTGAGTGAAAGCAACGGCACATCAAAAGCCAAATACTTGTGCACTCCAGTCGAGCGTGGTTAATTCAAGAAAAGCTTAACTTTTTAATATAATATTTTTATCAAAACAATTTTTTTTAAAATAAATATGTAGTTTACTCAAATGTTTTAGTTTGTACTGGCTCCTGAAAATCACTGTAATGTGTGCACAATTAAATAAACTGACCAATGATCAGTGGCGTAGGCAGGGGGGGGGTTAGGGGGGGTTATAACCCCCCCCCCCCCCCATGTACCCCCAATTTGACTACCTTTTTACGTTAAGCTACAGCTATTGACTTGTGTCGATATTATTTAGGGCTTAAACACTTAAGCCTGGCAGCCTCTAGAACAACAATGTATATCATTGTGATGAGAATTGCCTGTAGAATTTAGTTACGATTTTTATTATCGCGCTAAAGTAAAGTATAATAATCTGGAACGCAGTAGGCCAAGGGAAAGTTGGCCAAGGTTAGATCAGTTAAGGAGTGTCGAATGGGGAGGGGTGGGCTACGGTGGGTAGGCCTTTGTTGTCTAATATGCTTGTAGTGCAACCGGAAAGCGTCTAGAAATTAAAAAAACAACAACAAAGGAATTGATTATTATTCGCATTGAGGTTCTATAATGTGTATGTTTTTACTACTTCAAAACATTTGAAATTCATTTCACTAATGGCGGATGAAACAGAGAAACTGAAAACTATTTAATTTTTAAAAAGATAAGTAAACTGAAAATGATAAAGATGGCAGAGGACACAAGGTTATCAGTTAAAGGGTGTGACAGGGGGGTGAGGGTGGGTTTGAATATGGGTACGTCTCAATTACTACCGGATGCACATCTGGCAGGAAAGCGTGGGCTTGACCCACAATTGTTGACGCAAAACTTAGTGTTGGTAGATATAAAAACTGCGTAGGTGGTTAAATATAGATGTAGAGCCAGGAACCTACAGTAGTCATTTTTAGACAGTCAGAAAAGAAAGACCAATAATTATTTATTATTCGCATAGTCGTGTTTTAATGTGTATCTTTTTGATACTTAAAGCAATTTAAATTCATTTTAATGATGTCGGATGGAAAAAGGAAATTAAAAACTACTTTATTAACTGATTTCTTTACAAAGAAAAATAAAACTGAAAATGATAAAAATGAAGATGGTACTATTGCTTCTCAAACTACATTACATCAAGAAATTTCCATAAATTCAGCACCTTATCTGTTTCTTATGCAAATGATATCGGCAATTTTATCAAAGGATGATACACGGTTGTATTTATTAGAAAACATCTGGCGTCCTGATGAACTTTTTAAATTTCCAGCAAGCGGACAAAGAAATTTAAAGTTTCAATATTCGTGGCTACTTAGGTGGAACTGGTTGACTTATTCCAAATTACTTGATGGCGCATTTTGCAAATATTGTGTTTTGTTTAGTTTGAATTATGGTGGTGTAGGTAGTCAGCCTTTAGGTAAGTTATCAAAAATTCCATTTTCAAACTGGAAAAAGGCAACAGACAAGTTTAATGAGCACCAGCAATGTGAATATCATAAAAGAGCAATTTTACTTTCCCAAAATCGTAAATCGGTTATGGAGAAAAAAATAGAACCTGTTAACATCGCCTTGAACTCATCATTAAGTCAACAAATTCTAGAAAATCGTTTAAGGTTAGCGCCCATAATAGAAACTATAATTTTTTTGCGGCCGACAAGGTCTTGCACTTAGGGGGACAGGGATTTCGGAAATTTTCAGTTGGAGGATCCTGACGAAAATGATGGAAATTTTCGAGCTCTTTTGAGATACAAAGCCATGGGTGGAGACGAAACACTTAAACATCATCTAGAAAATTCTTCAAAAAATGCAAGATACTTAAGTCCCACCATTCAGAATGAAGTGATAAATGTGTGCAATAAATTAATTGTTCAAAAGATTGTTGCGAAAATTACTTCTGTTAAATTGTTTTCTGTCTTAGCCGATGAAACTAGTGATATAGCTGGTATGGAGCAATTTTCGTTATGTGTTCGCTACTATGATAACGACATAAAGAAAATAAGGGAGGATTTCCTACAGTTTGTAGGTGTAACTGATCTAACAGGCAAAGGACTTGCAAATGTTTTAATGGACACTCTAGCAAATTTACACATAGACGGTAATTTTATGATTGGTCAAGGATATGATGGAGCCGCTGCAATGAGTGGTCGACTTCATGGGGCGCAACAATATGTTGCTGAGAAATTTGATTTGGCTATTTACGTACATTGCGCATCTCACAGTCTAAACCTAGCACTTTCTGATGCCTGCGAACTACCAGCTGTGAGAAACTGTATGGGAATCCTTAATAGCACATACAACTTTTTTAACACACCAAAATGACAATCTTTGCTTGCAAATTCAATAGAGAAATTAACACCTAAAGCATCAGCATCTCGACTTAAACGATTGTGCGCAACCAGATGGATTGAGCGTCATGAGTCTGTCAACGTTTTTATACAGCTTCAAAAAGCAACTGTTGATGCACTGGAAATTATGTCATCCTGGCACGATACAACAACTTCTTCAACAGCGGTTCAACTTTTAGGAGCAATTAGGAGTCTTGAGTTTCAAGTTTCTCTTAGAGTTATCTCAAAAATCTTTGCAATAACACTTCCTGTCAGCAGAATACTCCAAACAGAAAACTTTGATCAATCTGCGGCTCTAAAATTTACAGAAGATTCAAGTAGCCTACTGGTAAATATGCGGAAGGATGCTGAATCAGAATTTACTACCGTATTTAATGAAGTCAAAGACATTTGTGAGGACTTCGACTGACTTCGACATAGATATACTTATTCCACGTCGAGCTGGAAAACAAATTCAACGCTGCAATGTGATGGCAAATACGCCTGAAGAGTATTACAGAATAGCTGTATTTATTCCTTTCCTTGATTCGGTTATATGTCAAATAGGAGACAGATTGCTAAAACATAAATCTGTTTTGAGAGTGAAGTGGATTGTAATGACTGACGAGAAGCCGCGTTGGTTATTAACAGTCTTTATTATGTACAGACGCCATGATGCAAAGAGAGAGAGAGAGAAGTGGCGAGAGAGAGCTATATATAGATAACAACATGTAAGGGACATCACTCAAGATAACAATATAAATATAATACTAATACAGAGAGTGAGTTCCCTTGACCTCACAATTAACTCAATCTATTACATCCCTTTACCCTTAGAACACAATAACACATCTCTCAATAGAACAATTGATAGTATCCTAAAATCACCAATTATATTGTGACATGAACATTATGGTAGATTACATCCTTACAAACAATGCACAATATGCCACAACATAATCAAAATACAAAACAATAATGTCAAAGTCCTTTTGACCTTTAGAATCATAGGTCTAACTTATTTGGGACCTTGATTGTCCTGCTTGACCTTCTCAGTGGCTTTTGATTTGGTGACTCAAGATTCTGACCATCTGGATTCTCTATCTCAGGAGGTCTAGGATTTAAATCATTAACTCCAGAATTTACATTTTCTGACTCCAGACAACTTGGTTCACTCATATCAACAGAACTTGGTTGTGGAACAAACTGAGTTGGTGTGAACTGATCAGACTTGGTGGGATTGACAGATTCACACTTATTATCTGCACAAGTTATTTTTAACTTTATAAGACACAGGTCCTGTACCTTGAACAATTTGACCTGGTATCCATTTTTCCTTTCTCCCATAGTTTCTTAGATACACATTCTTATTAACACCAAATTCTCTTTCAATGCATGTGTTGTCATGATCTAATGGAACTATTTTTGAATTGGCATCTGAAAGTATTAAATGGCAAAAATCTTTTTCTCTTTTCTTTTGATGTTACCCTTTTAGTTTCTGTAAGTGCTAATGATGTTAGCAAAGTTGTTTGATGATCACATTCCTTCTTACTAATGTATTTTCTTTAAAACATTTGAAATTGCCATATCACCATAATCATTTATTAAGTTACAAATACTTTGTTTAGGCAACTCTGACTGATAATGGACTGCATTTTCTCCATCTTTTATATTATCTTCACAAAGGGTTTTAATTTCTTATTTAATATGGCCTTAAGTCATCATTCACAGACTTTTCAGGCCAACCATTCTTACAGTACTCATATACTTTTATTAAGCACTCATCTTTTTGTGTTTTCCTTTTAATATCATTCACATTTATATTGGAGTTATCCATGATAGTGAAGAGAACAAATACATCTTCTGGTACATAGCTCAGGCTTTGGTTTTTTAAAGGTAATCTACTAAGACTATCTGCACTATTCTCAGATCCAGGTTTGTATCTCAATTCATAATTGTATGCAGTTAGTGTGATAGCCCATCTTTGAATTCTTGGTGAGGCATGCTCAGGTAGGGTTTTGTTTTCTCCAAATAAACCTAGCAATGGTTTATGATCTGTAAAGATGGTGAACTTCCTACCAAACAGAAACTTATGAAATTTCTTAACACCAAAAATGATGCCTAAGCCTTCCCTATCTAACTGAGAATAATTTTTCTCAGCCTGATTCAAAGATCTACTGGCAAAAGCAATGGGTCTGTCACCCTTCTCATCCATGTGGGACAAGACTGCTCCTACACCATCTGGTGAAGCATCACATGTTAATATAAGTCTTTTCCCTGGGTCATAGTGAGTTAGTAAGGTGTCAGCAGACAAAGCCTCTTTTGCTGTGTTAAAAGCAGCTTCTTGTTGTTTACTCCAGTGCCAAGTTGCATTTTTCTGTAGCAGCTTGTACAGTGGTGATAGTTTACCAGACAGATTCCCTATGAACTTTGCATAGTAATTTATCAAGCCCAAAAAAGCTCTTAGTTGTTGGGTATTTTCAGGTTTGGGTGCTTCTTTAATGGCTTTTGTTTTCTCAGGTTGAGGTCTGATGCCTTGTTTGCTCAATATATAACCAAGAAAACTAATTTCTGTCAGCATGAATTGACATTTATCTTTGTTTATCTTTAAACCTTTTTCACCAACAATTTTCAAGACTTTATCAAGTGTTTTAAGATGTTCAGTGTCATTCTTACCAGTTATGTACACATTGTCAAAGTACACACAAACATTTGGAATGTCCTTAAAAATACTGTCCATGACAGCTTGGAAAATTCCAGGGCTAGATGATATACCAAAACATAGTCTTTCATATTGGTAGAGTCCTTTATGTGTATTTATTGTCGTATAGACTTTTGAATCTGGATGCAGTTCTAGTTGAGTGTAAGCATGACTAAAGTCTAATTCAGTGAATTTGTCTCCTCCTGCCAAATTCAAAGAAATTTCCTCAATGTTAGGTATAGGGTACCTATTTAGCTCTATTTGCTTATTCAGTGTAGTTTTGTAGTCTCCACAAATTCTTATAGAACCATCCTTCTTTAACACTGGCACAATGGGTGTCGCCCAATCGGAATAGTCTACCTTCTTTATGATGCCATTAGATTCCAATCTACTTAGCTCATTTTCAATTTTATTCCTCATTGCATAAGGTGGAACTCTAGCTTTGCAGTATCTTGGATTTGTATCTTTAATGCTTAACTTCACTGTTCTATCATTTAGTAAACCTGAGTTACCAAAAACACATTTATTTTCAGATATAACTTTATCTAGTGAAGTAAGACTAGATTCTTTTACATTCTTCAATGAACAAATACTCTCCCAATTTAACTTAAGATCACTTAACCAGTTCCTACCTAGTAATGGCGGTCCATTTCCTTCAACCACAAGAAGAGGAAGTTTAACACTTTGACCATTATAACTTACATGAACCATACACTCTCCTATTACCGGAACATTGTCACCAGTGTATGTTGTTAGACACTTGTGACATGGCTGTAGAGGCACTGATCCTCCTGTGACAGCGTCAAAATCTTTCTTCGTTATGACTGTTAGAGATGCTCCAGTGTCAAGTTGGAAGCTGATGCTCTTACCGTTGATATAAACTGGTACATTGATGGGAGCATGACTTATTGATTTCACAGAGAATAGGTTGAAATCCGGCTGCGAATCAGTTTGAGCATTTTCACAGGTAGAGTGGTTCATTGGTTGGGTTAGGTAGTCTTGGTGAGAGTTAACATAGTGCTGCCTTTGGTTGCGGTACTGTCTTGACTGGCTAGATTTAGCAACAGACGAAGACTTTGCGAAGCAGGCCTTGGCAATGTGACCTTGCTTACTGCACTTATAACAAGTTGCAGACTTGAACTTGCACCGATGAGATGCATGGGGACCCTTGCATCGATGACATTTTTGATAATTATTACTAGATTTAGATCTAGGATTTGAACGAGCAGGCTGTTTAGCATAAGTTGGAATGCTCTGATGGGGTTGATGTTTATTGACTAACCTGTTGTTTACTGCATGGATCTCTGAAGGTGCTAAAGATCTCGCCACATCAGATGACTGCTGGAATGACATTGCAAGTTGTATTGCTTTTTCCAATTTTAGATCTGACTCGAGCAGCAACTTTCTTTGAATATCAGGGCTGTTTACACCTGTCACAAACTTTTCACACAGTCTGTCAGACAGCGTTTCTCCAAATTCACAAAATCTACTTAAATGACGTAAAGCAGCAACATATTCTGATATTGACTCGTTTGGTTGACGAGTCCTACCGTCAAATCTAGCTCTACATAGAAACTTTGATGGGGTAGGCGCATGGTGGTCTGTTAGCAATTTGCTCAGCTCGTTAAAGCTCTTGGTATCTGGACTAGCTGGTGCGCATAAGTCCTTTAGTAGCCTGAATTGTTGAGGCCCTATGACTGTTAACAAAACAGCTCTCTTTTTGGCTTCTATCGTCACGTCGTTAGCTTCTAGGTAAAAGCTTAACCTCTCTAGGTAATCTTGAATGATTTCATCATTCGCATCAAATTCTTTTATTTGGCCATACAGCGCCATAATTCTAGAAATAATTAGCTAATAAGCTCTAGCAAACCTCTTTTTTGCGTAAGTAGGTGCTCTTTCTAGTAGATGTTTATCCTTCGTCGCCAAATGAAGTGGATTGTAATGACTGACGAGAAGCCGCGTTGGTTGTTAACAGCTTTTATTATGTACAGACGCCATCATGCAAAGAGAGAGGGAGAAGTGGCCAGAGACAACTATATATAGATAACAACATGTAAGGGACATCACTCAAGATAACAATATAAATATAATACTAATACAGAGAGTGAGTTCCCTTGACCTCACAATTAACTCAATCTATTACAGAGAGGTTTTATGTGTCTTTTACCCAATGACTCGGGTTTTACCAAAGAACAGGAAAAGAATGCCATAACACTTATGCAAAAATATGAACGTTTGATTAACAGCAGTGTAATCGATGAAAGCAGTGGAGAACTGAAACTGTGGTGGCGCCACATTATTACAAGTGGAAATGTACCGCAAAACGCTCATCAAGCTTTTTTAATGTGTGACGTAAAAATATCTCCAACTGTACACAAACGACTGCAAATATTTGTAACATTGCCTGTAACAACTGCCGTTAGCGAACGCTCTTTTTCCACTCTCAGACGGCTAAAAACGTACTTGCGAAATACTACTTGCGAGGATAGACTAAATGGATTGGCATTATTAAATATTCACCGACAAATTGAAATTTTAGCGGATGAGATTCTTGATGAATTAGCCAAGAGTCCAAGAAGACTTGAACTACGATTGTAGGTAAATAATGTTATAAGTACGTTTATCTGTTTGCTGTGTTCTAGTATTGTTACTGCGTCTTCTGAATTTGTTTTATATATATATATATATATAAATATATAAATATATATATATATATTTATATATATATATATATATATATATATATATATATATATATATATATATATATATAATGCTGGAAAAAATTGGAACCCCCCCCCCCATGAGACGATCCTGGCTACGCCACTGCCAATGATATTATATTGGAGGGTATTGCGTTTTGTTGGACTGGAATAGCGTGCATGATCTGTGGTTTCCGGTTTAAAGATTGCTCATTATCCATGCAGATCACAACACTCAACAGGATGAAAGAATGGTAGAGGGGTTCTCACACCCGTCATGACTAGCGCACGATCTGTGGGATCCCGCCAATCATTCGCTTGCTTCACACTGACCATACAATAAGGGTGGGAGAGGGGAATGAATTGTTCTATCTCCTTAACAAAATGGACGACAATTTCTAATCACTATGCCGAAATAACTACCACACCAACCGCCTGTGGAACGACGTGGCTGGGAGGTAGAGCGCACGACTACTAACCCAAACGTCTCTGGTTGGGATCCCCAGCTCGAGTTTGTAGAACGTCCATGAGTCCCCGTCCCCCCCCCCCCCCCCCCCGAGCTCTAGTTAGAGAAAGTAAGAGGCGGCCGCGCACACAAATGTCCATACTATAAATATAGTCTTATAGTTGATAGTAAACATAGCTCTAATAATATGTCCCCTGGACACGGAAATAGGTACATACGACTTTAACTGCTTATAATCATGACCAATGTTTCTTCCAGACTTTTCTCTCGGGGGGGGGGGGGGGCACTTGAAATTTTCGGGGGGGGGGGGTAGACTTTCTTCGGGGGGGGGGGGGGCGGAGACTGTTAAAAGTATATATTTTCTATATAAATTATATAAATTTCATTTCGTTCGGGGGGGGGGGGGGGCGGTAGAATTTTTTCGGAGGGGGGGGGGGGATGCCTGGAAGAAACTCTGATCATGACCTTCAATCCGTCCCCGAACACTAGCTGTTCATAAGTCAACAAGCCTTTGTATAAATTTATCTGCTACAAAATTTAAGATGAAGGTATTTAGGGAAGTCCCATGTTACATTTCCATCTCTATAATTTTGTGATGTCGGACGTACATTTCCTCAACTGTTTTAGAAACGAGTCCTCGTGAAGTAATGACAAAAATACAGAAAAACATTTCTATTATTTATTAAACGAGACGAATTAGGCCAGTGGCTTGGGAAGGATTTTGTTAGGTTTAGGAAAAAAAAAAGGGGGGGGGGGGAGGATTTCCCGTGAAATTGTGGTTTTGTTTTGTCTCTATTATTTTGAAACTAAAAACATGGTGATTGACATGGGTGCGCAGATGGCCACAGCTTTAACATGGCAGAGTGAGACAGTCGTTATTCATGGTGTCCATGTGTGTGTGTGTGTGTGGGGGGGGGGGGGTGTTGTACATTAGATACACAACGTATACATAGCAATGTTCAGCCACCATCTAAAATCAAGCAGTGATCACCCACAATACAACATAGCAACAGAGAAACACCAGATTTTCTAAGAAAAACTTTTCCCATCCCTTTGAATATTAAAATGTAAATATGGATGTAATTACTTAGCAATGTTTAAAAAACAGGTTTTCATTCCTAAAATCAACAGTGTCATCACTTTCATTTTAAGCTGAAGACAAAATACATTAATTCCAGATGTATTTCCAGCAAAAGAGTTTTACAAAACTGGTAATTCATTGTTAAAAATATAGATGCTTTAAAATTTAAATTATACATATTTTACTTCACTTGGTATCAACATTAAGGTAAAACTGATTAAATCCTACTGCAAAGTAAAGTAAACCAAAAAAAAATGTGTAAGTATACTGTATAACCAGGATATAAAGATGTACAATACTTATTTATTATTATCAGGTAAGGCTTGGAAAAAATAATTTTTCACTGAAAGTTTATACTAGCCTGTCACTCATAAACAGCATCACTGTAAGAGATTGTTTAAAATATGTTCTTATTATTAATGCGATTTTATCAACAAATATTTGATCACATCCTGGCTTAGGAACTTGGCCTCCAAATTTTTATACTTTTTTTCCTCATCAACTCCTCTTTGACGGGATTCTTCTCCTTGGTGTCCTTAACAATAGTGGCACAAAGAACATCCATGATGTATTGTCTCTTGCGTTTGCGTTCTGCCTCAACCTTCTCAATCTTCTCATCAAACTCTGCTATGTCTTTATACATTTCATGAATGCTGTAGGCCTCTCCGATTTTCCACTTAGGGCTGGGTTCTATTTCTTTCTCATCATCTTTTGTCTTGCCAGATTTTTTAACTTTTTCTTTAATAGCTGCTTCTTTCTGGAGATAACATTAATAGGTTGAATTATTTTAATTTTTTTTTCTTAGTTAAATACAACTTTCCTTAGCTGGCCTTATCAAATATTACTAAAACTAAATATAAAAACAATTTTTTAACAAAAATATTATTTGAAAACTTGTGATCAAAGAGCGACATAATAATAAATATGACTATTTTTTATGACTAAATATGACTATTTTATATGAATAAATATGACTATTTTATATGACTACATATGACTATTTTATATGACTAAATATGACTATTTTATATGATTAAATATGACTATTTTATTACATTACAGCAGCAACCCCAGGTGTAATACAAACCTTTATTCTCTCATCTCTCCTCCTGTGCAATGTTTCCCTCTCTTTGTTACGGGCCTCTGCCAGTTCTCGCAGCCGAGCAAACTCTCTTAACTGGTCATAAGCGTGAGCTCTTGTAAACACTTGCTGGAGCTTTTGATCTGCTGATTAAAGCTACTTAGATACAGCCAGTGATAATGCACCTGCATCTCTTAGCTTAAGGCATATACAAAGCAACTTATTATATGTTAATATTAATATTCATTTAATAAATTTTAGATGAAATTTGCTCATTAAATGATTATTATAGAGGTTACCTTCAATTTTTCCTTTATGTACAGTTTCTATACCTGTAAAAAAATAATTAATTGAAAATGGTAATTAAAATAACAACTAATTAACCATAAGAAACCTGAATTATACATATAAAATTTAATATAAGCTTATCTTAGTATTCTGTTTAAAATGATAAAACGTTTTTAGTTAATGGGTAATAATGAAAATTGTATTAGGCCAACATTCAGCATTTTTCAATATATGGTAATCTATCCTAAAGATTTTAAAGAATGTGTTATTGAGTATTGTGAGTAGTTGTAGAATACTGGATTTTATTTTAAATCTTTGAAATTATTGGGAACTGTTATATTTTTTTTATTATGGATAGATGTAGACCTGTCTGCCTAATAAAATATATAAATAAAAAAGTACATTTTTTCCCCAGTTTTTAGGATACGTAGGCTAAAAAGAAATGTAATGTTAAGTGCCATTTGGTTACTGTTTAGAACAGTTTGGATACTATTTATTACTATAAGATATTTATTTTAAATTTTAATTTTCAAAAAAGTTCATCACAATTCAATAATTGCTGCCTCTAAAGTCTAAAGAGTCTAATTGAATTAGTATTTGGACTATTTACTACTTAGCGTTTAGAATAATGGGAAGGATATGGGATGTGTTCATGAACTCATAATCATTATAAGTGCTTATGACATGTGATGTCAATGATGAATGATGATGATTTTTAAATTTTTAATGTGAAATGTGCTGTCCTCCTCACTTGATTTTGATGAGTGCTTTTTTATTCCTAGTCTCTGTTTGATATCAGAAGATACAAGACGAGATTCCATTGTTGGTTGAAGCTTTATAGATTGCCAAAATGTTTCAGCGTAAGCTATTTCTTCTGGAGTAGACTCTGTAAATGAACATTTTTCTTGTTGTTTTGTTAAATCTATCAGCTTGATCGCCATTTTGTCGCTAATGTCAACAGATTTTGTTTAAGGGAGATTACTTTAAAACCCGGAAGTATGAATAAGAAATTTACCCCTTTGTCGTAAACAAAAATATTCTTTTTACAATCAGCTGTATAGATTTAGATCTAGATATTCTAAGATATCTAGTCTAGATCTTATACTATAAAACTATACTAAACATAAAAAAACACTTTGTTGTAAATACTGGCGTGTATCAGTTTTTTCATGGTAAGTCGGTATTGTCTTCATTTAATAAATTAATATGCACATTCCAAACTTCAATAAAAATAATATTTAAAAATATAATAATATATAATATTATAATATCCTGTTGAGTCAGTTGACTGTTGTTGACTGTTGACTAGTGTTGACGTTGTGACTGTTGTCCTGTTCTGATCAGACATTCGACTATTTGTCAACACCAACACATTACATTCATATTAGTCAATAATATTCATTCATAGATCGGACGATATTTCGAGTAGATCTAGTACTAGATCTAGTACTTAATGTCAATGATCTTGGTACTAGTTATTAGAGTCTAGTACTAGTAGTATCCTCAAAGTTCACACACACACACTCGACTGTCCACTGATTGATATCACAGACACATTTTTTTTTTTACTTTAAAAATTTCATCTCAAGCAAGACTCAAAGGGGATGCTTAAAACTATTATATTTAGGCATTTAGCATTAAAACTTCAACTGGCGCAACCACCGGCGCCCCGTACATTGCACGACCCAAAGTGCCAATGTTTCCCTTGCGAGCACTATGGCACCTCTGTGGTAGTGTAATCGGGGGCTCCCGAGAGTGCCCCTCTACGTCCCTGACACATAGGCGGTCACCGAAGTGTGTTCTACCTCATTATTTCGGTGATTAACGTACACTCAAGGTTTTCATGCGGTAGTGTAGGTAAACCAGTGTCCCGACTTTTATGATCCAAGTGCAGGCATTGTTTACATTTAAACAACTCATTTTTTATAAAACAAGGTTATGCGTCTAAGAACATAGGATTGGTAAATCATTGATGAAACCCTTCTTATATATTTCATCAAAACACGCTGGGGCAGATACGCTATTACTTTATAGTATTTGAGTATTATTTGGTAAATGTCTCCAGGATTCAGCTGGATCCAACATTGGATAATTGGTTGATGAAGCACACATCAAGTTAGCAATTTTCTGAACAATTTCATTGTCAGACATCCTTATACCCAATACAATATTCCTATTAGTTGTTACAAAGTGGTAATTCCCAGTCAACAGTGAATAGCCATATCTGTTTTTTTCCCCGTCACATGTCAATTTTTACAGTGGCCTAGGAATAGGCATTCAAACCTTCTTCAGCAACCTATCAAAATACCATTTTTAAATAAGTGAAGTGTGAAGAAAAAATAATTTCATTTGAAAAAGCGTGCCCATTTTATTCTTTTTAAAAATAATTGTAATAGCTTTGATAACTGAAATCCGATAATCAGTCATAATTCATGTTTGCATTTCAGTTCAGTAGTTTCTTTACTTTTCTTGTAGCACTACTGGCAAAAATCCATTTGATCAAGTTGTGTATTTTTATTTAAAGTTTTGATAAAAATGTCTAACATATTTACATATGTAAGCTCCTGATCTTGAAATGCACCCAACTAATAAATGTATGCCACCACCATACAAATCTTAGTGTGTTTTATTTATTTTATGGTGTATTTTGAGATAAACATATTGCTACTGGATGATGTTGCTAATCTCCCATAGGCATACCCTTGGGTTTGATATATTTAAATAAAAAACACACTCTATTGAACATTACAAGTAGATGTTAGTTCAGAGAAACTGTTTTTCTAGTTTAGAAGTTTTTAATCATTATATTACTTCAAATTTATTTTGTTTTCTAGTTAAATTTCTTTTTTTATATCTTAGAATTTATGACCCAGTTCTTTCTACAATGGACCTGCGCCGAGTAAAGAATGAAGAAAAGCTAGTACTTTGCAAGAAATATTATTTAGGTGAGTAGACTGAACTTGTCAGTACTAGGTTCATCTTGTCAGTAGTGACTGTTAGCAGGTTCTATCAAGTCATCTTTTTTGTTTCTTTTTCAGACACATTGTTATATAATAAATAAAACAACTTTCACCCAACTTCCAAGTAGTCTCTAATATTTTGTTCCTCGCATAACTAATATTATTTTTTAATTTTCCCAGCTGGTTTCTTTATTCTCCCATTTCTCTGGTTCATCAACACTGTGTGGTTTTTCAATGAGGCTTTCAGAAAACCAGAGTATACAGAGCAAGCACAGATTCGTACTTGTAAGTATTTCTCCATGTCAAACTTTACAGTAATAAGTGGGCTCGTTACTTTCTGTATTTACAAGTTTTAGAGCTGCTTCACAACTCCACATTTTCCATACTAACTTCTTCAAAGATTTTCTACAAAACAATACATTTTATAGAATTTGTTTCTATTGGTTTTTGCCATTAAAACTTTTTTTTATTTTTACCTTAAATAAACAGTTTTAAGTCTAAAAATTAAAATTAATACAAGATGTTATTTTTAAACGTATAAAAAATATTAAACCACATACTTTTATATATGTATAATGCTTTCAATGCTTGAATGCTGTTCCATGAAATTTTAGCTAGAGATTGCCACTTTGTTTTGTACGTATGATTAATTTAAAATATTTAATATTGACATTATTTTTTTGTCAATAGATGTAATCCGGTCTATGATTGGTTCAGTTGTCTGGATGGCAATCATCATCACTTGGGTCGTTATTTTCCAGACACATCGAACATCATGGGGTGTGGCTGGAGAGAATCTAGCTTTCATTATTCCCACAGGTTCACTGTAGATTATTCATGTCATTTTTTCCCTTCTGAAACTGGTCAAAATTTTTAAAGAATCATATTGTGAAAATCTAAAATAAATTGTTTCGGTTTTTCTGATTGGGGTGAAAATATTTTTAAAAAATGTTACAAAAACTGATTGGATGTAATTTTTACTAAAGAGGGATTATTATATATTTATTTCCTAGTCCATCACCCATGTTACAACTTTGTAAATAAACTTTTTTTTTTAAATATTGACTTGGTGTTATTTTAAGTTTTAACCATTATGAAAAGTGTCAGTAAGCTTTATTGTATCTCAATTTATAATGCAAGAAGTCATGTTTGATGCTTATATCACAAAGTATCTAACTTAAACAGCTGAGCGACTGAACAAACAGCTGTTGCGCCACAGCACAATGGCAGAAGCAGTTGTAATGACAACAGTACAGCCTTTCTTACATTGACTTATCAAGGGGGTGCCCACTCAAAAGTGTCATTTAATTTTTAAATTCATGGATGGTAAACTTTGAACCTCATGCCATATTACTTGATCAAAGAATTCTGCTGCCAATGTATCTTTACAATACTTTTCCTTGATTACTTTCCTTTCAGTAGTAAAAGAAACAACATGAAACAATATTTCAAATTTTCAAAAAAAAATTTATTTGATTTAAAAGCACAGTATAAAAAAAGCTGAAAAAATATCACACTTTGATATAAAAATCACAATAAAATATTTGTTAAAACAGACATAATTGAGACAGAATATTTGCAATCTTGACAATTTGATCTAGTACTCATTCAAGATACCAGTTTCTAACATTTGATAATGCTTTTCTTTTGCAAAGTTACAAAATCTCTTTCAAAAACATAAAGAGTAAGTTGTGCATTTCAAAAAATGCTTTCAAAAATTTAGATATTTCTATTGTACACAAAAAGAATGTTATCTTTAAAAAATATAATCCTTATATTGTAATGTATGGCTAATAGCTTTTGACAAATGTCATCAATAACATAGTAATAAGGCAAACAATAAATAATTCATTAATTACATTAAGAGAATTTGAATAACTAACAGATATTCAAACTTTTTGGAAAAAATATAAGATTTTGGCAATATCTTGTTTTAGATAACATTTTTTACCAGTCTACAGTTATTACAAGAATAGTACTTGGAAATGGTGACACAAATTCTTTGTAGTTTTAACTTGAATTTCTGAAAGAAATTTTACTCTCTCATTTGAATGATAATTTGAATTATGTTAACAGTTAAACTCGTGAATTAATAGTTTTCATTGTAACAAAAGTCAGCAGTGTTTTAGTTTGCTAACATAAATATGATATTTTTAGGAACTTATTCACAATTAAACAAAAGTTATTTCCAAAGTGTCTGGTGAGCTCCTTCTAATGCAATACTTTAAATTGCTGTAAAACACTTGTTGAACAAAGGAAAATGAACACAACAATAGAACTTCCATAACAATTTGATTTTCAAAAAGTGTAGCACAAGACAAACTTTTTACTACATGAATGAAAAGTATTTTAAAAGTGCAATTCTAAGTCTACAGTTTGATTTTTGAAAATACACTCCGACTACATTAATTAAAAAATCATTTAGTCACACCAAGTATAAAAAAAAATCACCAATGGTGTTTTATCTACTTCGTTTCTGTTCTTATGAAACATTTTTTATAAACTTAAGTCTTAATGCTTCATTTAGATAAGAAAGATGAATTGATATAAAAGTATATCACACTTCAAATTGTAATTGCTGTACTTATAGATATTAATATATTCATTGCTTGTTTTCATAATGAAAAAGAAAAAAAAATCATGTTTGGAGTATTGCTTTTTTCTCAGTTTTAATAATAAAGCTGTATTTTCTGATATAAAAGGTAACAATTATGAACAAAATGCTTTTGAAATATTGCTTGTTTGTAAATAATGGTCAAGCAGTCTTTATCAATTTTATAATTCTAAAATCACAAAAGAAAATACCATTTTCTGGAGTATTGCTTTCTTAAATAATCAGATTTATATTCAATGATTTCATAACATTTTTAAAAATATATATTATTATATGTTGTGTAAATGCTATACAGTTGTATATATAATACTTAAATGGCAAAAAATTGATACAAATTTGATTTAATAACAGAAATCATAAGTTTATATCTATTTTGGCATTTTAAAAGGCATCAGAATTTTTCAGCAGAACACTTTTTACAGCTGATAGCAAGAAGTAATTTAAATTACAGACTCATTTTACCTTTTTTTAAGTGTTTCATTGGAGTGAATTAACGTTCACTCTTTAAACCTGAATGAACAAAAAAATACTTCTGTAATATCTGTAATTTTTTTGGTTCTGAACAAAATATTTTTTACAACTCAATAGCCATTTATCTAAACAGGATAAGATTGTCTTGTTAATTTTTTGATATTATGCAATGGGGAATATTCATCAAATACATTTTTATGAAATAATGCAATAATTTTATCAATACGATTTAATATCTAAGCTGGTTTACTGAAAAAATTTCACTGATAGTTGATTATTTATCTCTGAAATAAGGGAAGTAGACTCATTTTATTACTCCAATATAAATAATTAAAGTACAACATTAATTTCAAACTGATTAGAATTGGCTGTATCCAAGAAAATTCATTAGTTTTTCATCTCTTAAAAATAATATATGCTACAAATAAACAGCTAATTTTTCAAATTCATCAAATATTCAATCATTATATTATTAACTTTAGACCAGCAGTCACAATCAACAAATAATAATATGATATTACCCTTTAACCCAAGTTTTTACTTTTTAAATAAAAGTCTAAAATTCATAATATAAAAGTTTGTTGACTATTATAGTACATATTATAAAGTAGAAATAATGTATTTAAAACACAATAAAATATTTCTTCCAAAACCGTTGAAATAAATGCTAAGCCAGAGCTTTAGAGTTTAAGTTTACAGAAGTGGTTGTATTTGGTGCGGAGTTACATTTTCCTCGTGTCTCTCCTTCTGGCTTCTGCTCCTTTAAAGCCTCCCTCTTCCTTCTTTTAAGCTCCTGCTGAATTAGAAATACTTGAGCACGACACATTCTTGCCTGTTTTTTCTGGTACTCTTCTTGGTACACAGTTTTAAAATCGCCCTGCAGAAATATAATTTTTCCAAATAAGTTGGTAAGGGCAAGGAGAGCCCAGAATATAATAAATACCTACTGATACAAAAAAAAAAAAATTAAATTGTAAAAAAAAAAGAGAGAGAAATAAACTGTAGATTATGACTCCTATTTGCATAGATCTAGCCTATATGGATAAAAGCAGAAATGCAAATTAGTTTTCTAGTTGAAGGCATTTTTCTACTAGTTGTAGAATATTGAAAATAGTGTTTGTTTCAGGCATCTTTCCAAAGGGGGTGGGGGTGGGGAGGCAATGCCCTTCCTTTCTAGACAAAATAGTAAACAATATATAACATTATATGGGATGGTGTATCATAGCAGTAGAGAGCTAGACTTCTAACCTGAGAACTTTGCGGTTCAAATCAGTGGAACGTCCCTGAGTCCACCCAGTTCTGATGGGTAACTTATGTTAGAGAAACAAAGGCGCCTGGGCATAGTGCTGACCACACTATCCCTACTTAAACCGAGGTCTCTGCCCCATGTGCCTTGGAAATGATGATGATTAAATGATGATGATGAGAGAAAATATGTACAGTGTCTCTAGAAGTTTCAAGCCCCCCTACCCCCTCCCCAGAGGAAAAATGTCTGAAAGAAATGGTGCAGTGAATCTGTTAGCAGATCTTTTATTGTGTGTAATGGAACACAGACAGGCCTGACAGTTTGATATCACCTACCTCCCCACTTTTTGCCATTGGCCTCTCTTCAGGGCGATGTTTTATAATGGGCTCTACTGGCTTGGGTACAAAGCTGGACTTAGTCACACTTTGTGCGTTGAAGGGCTGCATGCTGGGAATGTATGGTCTGTTCTCGTGGAAGTCACCAAACCTAACCATTAAAAAATTTTATGTATCAATATATCAAATGTGAAGCATTTTTAAATAATGTGTTTGTAAGCTTTCTTGTTAAGCCTGAAATAGATACTATTATAGAAAAAACTTATTATGAGGTTGGTATTGTTACATGCACAACCTAGAAAACCCCTCACCTTAATGCGGAAAATAATCTTTCTTTTTTATTCAAGACTTAGCATTTTTTTTATTGTTATGCACATTTTTGTCAAAAGTTTATTAAATCATGTTTTGTATTTAGTTTAATGAGTAGTTTTCATTACCCACCTTAATTTTTTGGTAAAAGTTTCACTACTAAAAAACAGATAACTCTAATATGAAAAATTTTGACCAACAGTGGTGTACTACTGTTACTTTCCTAGTCTTCATATCAACTCAAAGAACTAATGACCTAAGCAACCAAAATTTTAGAATCATTGTAATAAGATTTTGTTTTAAAATTTATCCTATAATATAAATTGTATCATTTATTTATTCTATTTTAGTTTTACATCTTATAAACATAAACATCCACTCTGAAAAATCAAAACTATCAATATTTCAAGGTGATTTATGCCAGTGTTAAAAAAACTATCAATATTTCAAAATGATTCATGCCAGTGTTAAAAAACTATCAATATTTCAAAGTGATTCATGCCAGTGTTAAAAAAACTATCAATATTTCAAAATGATTCATGCCAGTGTTAAAAAAACTATCAATATTTCAAAATGATTCATGCCAGTGTTAAAAAACTATCAATATTTCAAAGTGATTCATGCCAGTGTTAAAAAAACTATCAATATTTCAAAATGATTCATGCCAGTGTTAAAAAAACTATCAATATTTCAAAATGATTCATGCCAGTGTTAAAAAACTATCAATATTTCAAAGTGATTCATGCCAGTGTTAAAAAAACTATCAATATTTCAAAACGATTCATGCCAGTGTTAAAAAAACTATCAATATTTTAAAGTGATTCATGCCAGTGTTAAAAAAACTATCAATATTTCAAAATGATTCATGCCAGTGTTAAAAAACTATCAATATTTTAAAGTGATTCATGCCAGTGTTAAAAAAAACTATCAATATTTCAAAACGATTCATGCCAGTGTTAAAAAAACTATCAATATTTTAAAGTGATTCATGCCAGTGTTAAAAAAACTATCAATATTTCAAAATGATTCATGCCAGTGTTAAAAAACTATCAATATTTTAAAGTGATTCATGCCAGTGTTAAAAAAAACTATCAATATTTCAAAATGATTCATGCCAGTGTTAAAAAACTATCAATATTTTAAAGTGATTCATGCCAGTGTTAAAAAAACTATCAATATTTCAAAATGATTCATGCCAGTGTTAAAAAAAAATATCAATATTTCAAAATGATTCATGCCAGTGTTAAAAAAACTATCAATATTTCAAAATGATTCATGCCAGTGTTAAAAAACTATCAATATTTTAAAGTGATTCATGCCAGTGTTAAAAAAACTATCAATATTTCAAAGTGATTCATGCCAGTGTTAAAAAAAAATATCAATATTTCAAAATGATTCATGCCAGTGTTAAAAAACTATCAATATTTTAAAGTGATTCATGCCAGTGTTAAAAAAAATGTACATACCTAACACGAGGCTGGACCCCCCAGTCAGGAAAGAAGTGATTGTTCATTGTCTTCCCATCAAAACGTGCATCCGACGAAACTGCTAGGGTGGACATGGGAACCCGAACCTTAACGTTTGCTGCTTTCAGATCAATCGGCTGATAATCTCTCTGGATGCCAGAAAATAGGTTTTAGTAGGTAACTTGTGGCAGAATAATGGCTCTAATATTGAATATAAAACTAGAAAAAGATATGCAAAGTTTGGTACATGACACAGTGTTTTGTCACAAAAGTTTAGATTTGTCAAAATAAGTTGTAAGAGTAAAAAGTTAGTTTAGTCACAAAACTTGTGAGAGTAAAAGGTAAGTTTAGTCACAAAAATTGTGAGTGTAAAAAGTAAGCTCAGTCATAAAAATTGTGAGAGTAAAAAGTAAGTTTAGTCACAATAATTATGAGAGTAAAAAGTAAGTTTAGTCACAAAAATTATGAGAGTAAAAAGTAAGTTTAGTCACAAAAATTATGAGAGTAAAAGTTTAAAGTTGGTGTGGCTGACCTTCTGGGAGGTTTCAGTTTCAAACTTGACTGACGGCAGTTTAAAATTTTCTTCCTCCTTTTTGCAAGAAGCTACCACTGGGTGCTGTTTAACATCATGGCCTTTGTAGGTTGCTCGGTTTTCTGTTGAAAAGCTTTGCCTGAACGGAAATGTTAAATTAGTCAACGATAAAATCCTGTAAGCCCTATACAAAGTCATGTAAAAACTAAGTTGAGAGAAGATGCACATGGCTGCAAAACTTGAAAGTTTAGAGATCAGTTCACACATGGACCTATACCCATTTATGATAAATATAGCGAAAAAATGAATTACTACTTTTACTCCTCTAGTTGATGATGATGTTTGAAAGGGTACTTTACTTGTACAAAATAGCCCAGTTCAATGAAAAAAAAAATTCTTAACACTCTTGTTTAAACTTACTTATTGTCAAACTTCAAATCAATGGTGGGCTGGGGAGGGTCAACAGCTCGGGGCGGGCGTGGCTGATCTCTCCCAAAACCTGGGAAATCCTCCTGTGTTTGGGACACGCCCAGAAACTTGCCGCGGTTTGATAAGGTTGTGGAATCTTTCTGTAGAGTTTGTCTGGCTCTGTGGTCACCCTCTATCTGTTTGTAGGTGGAGTTGTGGGTTGTGTCAAACAAGTGCTCTCCTGAAACAAAAACATTTAAATCCTAGTCAGTTGTTGATTTACTGGTTATTATGCCTAGGACAACAATACTAAATAGCATACACAATTTAAAACATGAATCTAATATATTATTAATCAATTAATTATTATTATATAATTGTATCAGAGTAAAGTTTTACTTGTTTCTTTTTTTTTTTTCTGTCATTTGTTTTCTTTTAAAATATGGATTATAATATAACAAAACAAACCTTCCAATTTAATACTGGAATCTGGTATTTTAGCAGGAGGTGGAGGAGCCACAAATTTTCCAGTGTAGGTGTGATGAGTGGTTGAAGATGGGATGTTTTCTTTATCAGGATATAGAATTGATCCTGTAGACACAGAGTTTGTCAGAAATAAATACATTTTTAAAAACTTATTTCACAAAGGTTGGTTCAATCATGTTTAATTTAAATCAGTCTAGTGGAAGCAGACACCATTTAATTAGCCTACTTGTTCTTTAAATTTATTGATGTGGTCATAGCAAAACTAAATTTTTTTAACCAAACATATTTAAACTTCTTTACATAACATTTATCTTTGATATTCAACAATTTCTAGAATGTTAATACATTGAGGTGTCAGTGTCTTGAAAGTTATGCTCTATATACCTGTAAAACTGGGAAGCTCCCCAAAACTCAGTGTTGGCTGAGGCACCCATCTCTTGAAGTGTTGTTTGTTGGTGGTCATGTCTTCAAAGATTGCAGGCTCACGCTGGATCAAATCTCGGCGAGGCGGAGGGCGATTGTTTTCATTACTTAACTATAAAAAATTGTTTCATAATTACAGATATAGGTTGTATTCACTGCTTCATTAGGACTTAATCAAGTTGTTGTTTAATGTCTAAAACACTATGAAAAGAGTCATTCATGCTAAAATTGTGTGCATATTTTTTTTTTTACTTTGGACATTGTGATTTTCATTATATTAAACAAAATCAAACATATTTTTAACAAATATACTTTAATGAAAATATTATATTATAGGTCAAAATTTTAACCTGCTTAGGAGTAAACTCCTGAGAGTAATATGTTGTCACTTCCATAGGTTCAGATGAAGGCTCATATTTATCAACCTGTTAAAGAAATTAAATGTTTGATTTTTATTTATTGTCTCAGTTTTACAGCACTAATAACAAGAAGTCAGACAGGCTTAGATTAGATGCTTCAAGAAGTAAAATTGGATGGCCAAAACAAACACAGAAGAGGTCACTTGGTGACAAGGTAAAAGTGCCAGAATGTCATGGAACCAGTTTAATGGAATAGACCAAAACAGTTTACAGGAGAAGTTGCATCTTTATGCTTCACAGCAATGATGAAGAAGAACTACAAGAATAGAATATTTTAAAATCTAGATTTGAAAACAGAATTTCAACAGAAATGTATAGACATATCACTACTACTCTAAATTTATCAACCTTGGACAATTTTATTTAAATTTACTGATTAAAGGTTACATTTTGACTTCAAGTTACCGTAATCAATTTTTTTAAATTTCGATCATCAAGGTTTCTTTTCAGACATTTTGTTCTTTTCAGACATTTTGCTCCACAGAGAAAAGAGAAGGGGGTGGCATTTAAAACCTGGGAGGTCTACTTAAACTATATATTTTCTATTTTAATTTAATTTTTTTTAAAGGAAGAGTGGGTGTGGGAAGGTAAACTACAAATCAGCAGTCGTTTAAATTTGGAGTTTTCTCTCCTAGATGGGTTGCTTTCCCCAGCTATCAAGCCTCATCTCCCCAGGGGTACAAACTTAGGACTATATGGTTTAGCAGCCATAAGCATTAAAGACCCGACCATGCTGACCACTATTTTAAAGCAATAAGCCTGATGTTACCAGTTTTTAATATATGAGCTGTCATAATAAAATATTAAAAATTGAAAATTAATTACAACAAAAAAACTGCACCTCAAGACAATTTTTGTCCCATGTATTAAAACATATGTGCTTGTTGTGCACTAAATCTCACCTGAATGATTGGCCTGACTCTCTCTACATTTCCCAAATCTTTAAACGAATCTCTCTGATTGGTGGAAATATACATGGGAGGTAACCTAGGATCCCATTGCTGGATTGGTGGACGCTTAGAAGACCTTGGTCTTGGGTGTCGCACTGCTTCAAACGTGGACATGTAGTCTGATTTTGGAAAAGGCTCTCGTTTGTCTGATTGAATAATTTTGTGACTGTGCTGTCTTTTATGTCGCCTGCATTGAAATTTTTAAAAAATAATTTGTGATAAGAAATGACCACACATGACCAACAGCATTATAATGCTCCTAAAGGCTTAGCTTGCTTCTTTTCCTACCATTTAGAAAAGAAATGTTTTCCCCTGAAATCATTCTTGTACAACCCTTCCCATAATATAGTTCAAGCTGATGACTTTTAAATTTTACATTATAAGAAAAATATATGGCACCACAGTATAATTATTCTTAACATCATAAAAATTTTAGGTGGGTCAAAAATTAATTAAAAACAAAGTGAAAAGGTAGACAATCTGAACTGCTGCTTATCTTAGTTATGGGCCTTTAATATATGATTAACAAACAGATAACTCACCCACAGTCACATAGGTCACTGATTGAAACATCATCTGGAAACACCTCATCAAAAATCCCCAATCCATCTATACTGCTACAAGGCTTTGTCGTTTCAGGCATTCTAGTAGAAATGTAACACAAGTAATAAGGTTCTTATTAATTAACCATAGGCCTGCTCAAATATAATGGAGGCATGGTTTAGTGGTAGAGCACTCTACTGTCTACCCGAAAGTCTCAAGTTCAGATTTTTATCTTGAATCTGTAGGACATTCCTGACCTTCTCTGATAGGTGCCTTTTCACGTTAGGGAAAGTAAAGGTGGCTGGACATAGTACTGATCAAGTTTGAAAGGGGACTTCTTTAATATTAAAAAATACAAAAACCCTTCAGTAGGAACTACTGACACAAAATATTTTAAAACTCAGGAAAAGAAGTAGGTTTAAAACTAGGGTTCAATATATATATATATATATATATATATATATATATATATATATATATATATATATATATATATATATATATAGTGTGTGTGGATGTTTCTAAAAGACAAATCTCTTTAGGTTCTTATAAAATTAAACTTTCTGATTTTTTCACTGCGATAATAGAGTTGCGTTTATTCTGCCCACTACTCACCTGTATAAATAGGTTTTGTATGTAGGCCTTACTTCAGTGGCAAGAATCTATAAATAAAGCAGTTTAAGTTATGTTTTAGCCTCTGCCAATTCAATTATGGAGGGGGGGGTCCTTAAATTGAGAATTCTACTTGTAACTAAAAGTAAAAGCAATTCAAGTTAGTCATGCAATCATTTCTAGCTTATTTGTGATGAAAAGCAAAAACTCACCTTTAATAACTTAGTATGAACATATCACCTTAAGGTAATACTGCAAAAAACAAACCAACATTTCACATAGGCAATTGGGTTTTATCAAAACAACTTATTTTATTAATACTATAATCATCAACTGTACTAAAGGTAACACAGGAGTAAACTAGTGACCTAAATACTAAATAGGCCTATCCAAAATACAGTGGCTTTTATATTATGGCCTACATAAATTATAGCTTACATCAGAATAGCAGGTTTAAGCATTCCAAACAGAATGAGAATACCCTGCATTAGATCATTAATAAAATGCATTTTTATTCAAATTTCAAATATTAAAAATAATTTCTGTCAGAAAATGGGATCAGAAGTATGTATTCTACATCTGTTATGAGTATGGCATATTAAATGCTATTCACTGTATTCACCACTCCAGTATTCAGTTCACCTGCATTAACATTGACGTGCACAGTGTCAAAGTCACCTGCAGATTTAATGCACCTGTTGAATACCTTATTGAACTCCTTTCCCACCGTATGTCACAACGTAAATACTCAGTGCCTCGGTTGTGGTTATTTCATAGTTTACTGCTTTGCAGCCAGTCTATCTATTTTTATGAACTGGGGTCTAACTAAATCTTTTTTTGATCATTCACGCATGTAAACGGAAAAAATTGTATGAAAATGCTAATCAATCTGACAGACAGCCAATGTCATAAATTATCATCTGAATACATACCTTCTAGATCCTCTCTATGTCCGTTCCAGTATCGCAACGGTGTTGACAGGGTAAGGCTTTGTCGAGAGAAATTATAATGTCAAAAGAGAGTCGAAAGCATAGAAAGTTAGAGACACAGTTTTTCCCTCTCGCGTGCCTTAGCAACGACTCGTTGACAACTAGATCTAGTTCTCGTTCAGATTCATGTTTTTAATTTTGTAACTTCTGCAAATTTTTATGTTCTAAAATGCTTCTTTGTTATACAGCGCGTTAATACAACTTAATATTTTTTATATTCGTATTATACTATTATCGATTGAAAACATATAGATTCTATAAATCTAGCACATTTTTATAACAACAAATATTTTTTTTTACGTAAACTGGTTACGGTTTTTAAGAATCTCCATTGTACAGACACATGATTAGTTCAAAATGGCGAACCTTGATATTAGACTAAAGAAAGTAAACAAAATATATAAAGAAGGGGTAAACACATGATCTATTCTCATAAATAGATGATTTAGAAGTTAAAGTTTTCAAATATTAACTTTCTGCAAGTAAATACTTACCGCCTGAGTAAAAAAGCTGAAAAATTATTAAATAATAAACTGTAAAGTCACAAAGTGGGCGGTGCCTGTTAGTAGATATTAAGTAGAATGTTACTGTTGTGTTGTGCAACTTGTGGTGTACTCACTCACTGACTCAGTCACTCACTCAATGTAATCAGTAATCTGTATTGTAATTGTCACGATTGTGTAATGTGTATTTTACTTCAGTTCCTAAATGTCTCTCTGTCTCTATTAGTCTACTGCTATTCTCCGTGTTTGACTTGAGTCAGTGGCTGACACAAGGATATCGCCAGCAATTTTTAATTTACACTCCAATATTCATCATTATTGATTGTTGGGTAATCTCTATATTTATATTATTATTATGTCTCACAAATTCTGCCTTTAATATGTCTCTTTATTTTCTTATCACATTTTTCTTTCTCAATGTTTCACGTTTTGCATTTTACCAAGACCCAGTAAACAACAAAAAGTAAATAGGCCTATATAAATTATATTATTATTACGCATCCATTATCTTTTAACTGTGGACATCATTACCTAGGTGAGGGTAAAAAAATTAGGTCAAGTAACTCTCTAAATTAAATTAAAGTTTATTCAAGCTATTCACTAGTAGCTAATACTAATGTAATAACTGTAGTATTTTATATTAATTATTATGATCAATATTTAGTTGCCATTGTCGAGATCGCAGACCAGCTGGCAAAAATTGGGGGAAAGAAACCACAACCGGAAATTTCGCTACACCCAAAAGAAATAAAAAGAATAATTAAACACAAACAAACGCAAATGTGGTCTGTCACACACCCTCACTACATTAAAGACGACGGCTATTACAATTTAACACGAAAACAACAATACACAATCTTTCGACTCAGAACAGGCCACAACAGACTAAATCAACACATGCACAAAAAACTGAAGGTTGGGTGTAGCGAAATGTGCCCTTGTGGCAAGGCCCCGGAAAACACGGAGCACGTACTCCAGGATTGTACTCTGTATAGCCAGGCAAGAGGCAGACACTGGCCCCAGCCCACCCCACTCAGGGAAAAATTATATGGGACACCTGACAAACTGGAAACCACAGTCCGGTTTGTCCATGAAGTTGGACTTGTTGTCTAATTCTTCCACCATAATCAAAAATTAAGAACGAAGAAGAAGAAGAAGAAGTTGCCATTGTGAATAACCCCTTCTGTCTTTCTGGTAACTTTAAACAGTGTATAAATCTAAATATATAAGTATAATGATAATGTTATAAGTAACTACTTACTTGCACAGCAAACTCCACAGCCTCTCCTCAACCAAACTGGAAATATTACTTTGTGTTGAACATAAACCCCCAAACAATAATAAAAGTTATCTTAATTAACCTTATTTAATTAAATAGATCAGGCTACATACCTTGTATAAAGTTAAAGTGTGTAGATGCATGAAAGTTTATTTATTAAAACAAAATAAGGTGTGTTTATTTTCTGCCTAAAGATTTTTTTTTAAAAATGTTATTTATTTTATTCAAATAGGATGTTATAGCAGGAGTTGTTGTGGTGCAGAGCAAGGGTGAGCTTCAGCATCAAGGAATCACGCTGATAATGGAGGGAATGGTCAACTTACAACTTAGTGCTAAAAGTGTTGGACTTTTTGAGGCTTTTTATAATTCCCTCAAGGTAGCTCACATTTACTTCATCCATAATGTCATGTTAATCCATACTTGAGCCAGTTAGAGATGGTAAAGCTTCTTCTACCCTTATCTGAAGATTTAAAAGTTACTTTTTATTTGTCTAGATGTTTATTTTAAAAACATAATTTACATTAAAAAATGATTGTTCTATGGACATAAGAAAAACTTAGGGGGAAAAACGGCAACTATAGAACATGTTTTAAAATCCTTATTGATGTTTTCAGCCTATTCAACTATTAAACTACACATTGGAGGTGGCAAAACCAGGAAAACTTCCTTCAGGAAAAACTGAAATTCCTTTTGAAGTGCCCCTGAAACCAAAACCTGGCAAAACACTGTATGAGACCTATCATGGGGTATTTGTCAATATTCAGGTACAGAAATACTAATTTCTTGTTGTTTTTTTTTTTTACCTTTTTTGTTATAGATACACAACAAGAATTTTATCTAGTAGCTGGTTAAGCAATATTATTATTTTTTTGTTTCAAATATTGCCTTGCTGATTTCCATCTCGTTGTATTTTTAATAATGCAATGTTTTTAAAAAGTATAATTTCCTATGATAATACATCTATTTTTCTCACTAAATTAATGTATCTAGACTTTTTCCTCAATTACTTACTCATTCTATTTTTCTATGTTGAACATACTGATTAGAGAACGTGTACTTTATTTACTCCAACACCAGTATTTAGTGAAAGTAGAAATGAAAAGATCACTCCTCAACAAAGATTTACAGAAACAAACAGAATTTATAATTGAGTACAAGGTAAGTAAATCCACAAAACCAATTAGAAGATTTACCACTTTCGTTACCAATCACCTCTTAACTCTAAATTTGTTTTAAATAGCTTTTAATAAAACTCTCTGCCAGTAATAATGGTTTTAAAAATTTGGACATATCATGACGCGCATTAATTTATTAAATAACTATGCACCATCAACCACTAACTCGACACGCTATCCATTCATTAAATCTTTAACACTATCTCTATTGGTCTTGATCTACATTTGTCTTGCATTTAAATAAGGTTATGCTCAAATGGTCACAGCCTCCTAGACCTGTAAAAGATTGATTTACTAACAGCTCAAATTGAGCGGGCAGTAACATCTTTCTTCACCAGCTGAGTTATTTATGGATCCTTTTTTTTCAATATTTGCAGAGCCAGGAAGAAAAAGCTAAGCCTAAGCTAGTAAACTTCACCATTACTCCAGAAACTTTGACCAATGTTAAGGAGGTACGAGCATACAAAATTTAATTCCGTAATTTAAAAGAGATTTTTGGCAGTATTGCTTTTTTTTAAATTGATGTTTTTTTTTTGTTAAAGTAATTTTTTTTTCTTCTCTCTTAGAAACAAAATGTCCCCAAGTTCAAAGTGAAAGGCCATTTAGACTCTTCTTGTTTGCAGATTACAAAACCACTCACTGGAGAGGTACAGTTGTTTTGAATCCATCAGTTGTTTTTATTTAATTTAAACTTTTTTTTCACACAAAAAATGTGAAAAACAACATGAACCCATAACCATTAGCTTTTAATGTTGAGTACACAATATATCAATAAATCAGACATGTGTGTCTATATTGGGGAAAAAAAACAGATAACAATAATTACTCTTAATTTTGGTCAATTAAACTATACTCTATTTTCAGTGGCTTCTCTGTATGTTACAAAGCACTTTGAAACCATATCCATTATATATATATATATTTTTTTTAATATGCACAAAATATATTTGAATGTTTTATAAAAATTTCCAGTATAGATTTTATTTTTTTATTTAATTTTTCTAATTAATTGAAAGTCCTTTTAAACCTGTAAATGTCTACTGCCATGAAATTTGATGTTTCAGTTAACCGTTGAACATTGTGAGGCTGCTATAAAGTCTATAGAGATTCAGCTGGTCAGAGTGGAGACTTGTGGGTGTGCTGAAGGCTATGCCAAAGATGGTCAGTGATATCTTATCCTTTTACCCATATCCCATATCATTCTTCAATTCTGAAATAATAGTTTGTCAAATCATAAATTCAAACTGTGTGTTTTTTAATTTTATTTTTAAATGTTTGTCTCCCTTATCAACATAATATTACCATTCGTAAAGTTTGAAATCCATGTAACTAACAAAAAACTTCATTACTTTTAAATTATACAATTTTAAACCATATTTATTTTACTTCTTTTATTAAACATGAGTTAATAAGTGTGTGGTAACTTCCTGAATTTAACTTCATTTGTCTAAATATTTTTTTTTTAAATTTCAGCCACTGAGATTCAGAATATTCAAATAGCTGATGGCGATGTAGCTAGAAGTATGGCTATTCCTATCTACATGGTGTTTCCACGCTTGTTTACATGTCCAACTTTATCTACCAATAATTTTAAAGTTGGTGAGTCAATAATTAAAGTGGTGGCATATTTGAGTTTGCGGGCTTTTTTTAAGGGAACTCCATCCCAGCCACTTTTTATTTCTCTACAAAAATGTAAACAGGTGATAGTGTTAAATTCAGAATTCATCCTAGCCATCTAAATGTATAACTAGAGTGTAGTTTTTTTTAATGATTGTTTCAAATTCATGTTTTTAATTTCCTGGTTTCTTTTTTCCAGATTTTGAAATCAACATTGTTGTTGTCTTTGCCGATGACCATTTGGTAACAGAAAACTTCCCTCTCAAGCTGACTAGGTTTTAGTGTACACAGATCCCAAATCCCATGGCTAAGCTCAGAGTCCAGCTACTTGCTAAACTGAAGAGACACTCTATGCATTACATCTGCTAAGAACAAACAGGAGTAATTATGGCAGATCAAAAGAGAATATGTCTAAAAGTTATGAGGTTCATTTTTTTTTCTTTAAAAGAACTGCATTTATAAATCAAATGGCTTCAACATGTGACACTTAAAAGACCTTCAGTTTTTCATTAATAAGGCTGTTGTTGTAAATGGAATGGTTAAAAAATAATGTCTTAAAGTTAACGAGCTTCATTCGATCATTTAAAAAGCTACATACTTTTGTCTTAAATTATGTATAAATGCAATATCATATGTTATTGTTAGTTTTTTGGTCATGAAGCTGATGTGTGCTGTACATTTATGTCTATTTATTTCTTAGAGGAATGTGTATGAATGTGAAGAAAATAAGTTTACAGGGAGATAATTTCAAATATTGTATAATTATTCACTGTGGCCTTACAAGGTCAGGTGCAATTAGGTTCTCTCCCCACCCCACCCTTCCTCATTGAATATATACCAGATGTACTCAAAGTGTTTCAGTTTAATGTCACTCCATCTCTGATCAGGCTGTGTCACCCCCGTCTGGAATGGCTTTACGCTTTTAATAAATTAAGAAAAAAAAATTAAATTGTTAACTCAACAAAAACTGATATTCTCATTAAAGTTGGCTTTTTTCATCTCTGTGACACCATACCCTTCCCTATCTTGTGACACTTGTGATTATTCCCCCTGAATATTAAGTCTTACGACACTTGTGATTATTTCCCCCTGAATAATATTACTGAATGATCTGGATGGCAATGTTTTTATTATCTATGTTGAGGCTTTGTAAATAACTCACCAGTATGTTGAAACTTATGTTTATAAAATAAAAGAAATAGAAAGAAATGTTTAAAATATACACTGACTCCATTTATTTGCTTAAGTTCCAAGATATCAGAGTAATGCAAAGCTGCTCTCAGACATACAAAAAACTGCTGAAGTGTATTTTTTGTATATGCTACAGAGCACACCTTCGTTCTTAATTTTAGTGTTTGAAGGGATCCCCTCCAACACAGTTAAGTATACGTGTCAACTGGTTATGTGCCCTTGAGGCAATTGACTCCTATTTGCTTCCATAGCATCTGCTTGATGATTCAAACTTGAGACTTTTCGGTTTAGCAATCATGAGCTTTACCGACTCAACCACACGACCCCCTTCTAGAGCACATAAAAGTGACAATAAATTGGCCAAAAATGTAGCCTTCCTTGTCTCTGTCATCAGAGTTTCTTCCGGGCATCTCTTCGGGGGGGGGGGGGGGGACTTTGCCTCCCGAAAATTTTTTTATATAATTTATATAGAAAATATATACTTTTAACAGTGTCCACCACCCCCCCCCCCCCGAAGAAAGTCTACCGCCCCCCCCCCCCCCCCCCCCCGAAAATTTCAAGTGCCCCCCCCCCTGGAAGAAACACTGTCTGTCATATGATCTCACCAATGTCATTTTGGCCTCCCCTCTACCTCTTTCTTATTCCAACGTTTGTCTTGTGATGTTGTAATGCAGTGGCGTAGGCAGGGGGGGTCATAACCCCTCCCATAGACCCATCGGTATATATATATATATAAAGTATGAGGGGGGGGTGCAAAACGAAAGTTTGAGGGGGGGGGGGGGGGGGTACAAACCAAAAGTTGAGGGAAGTGCAAATCGAAAGTTTGTCCCCGGTAAAAATTTGAACCACCCCCCCCCCATGAGACGATCCTGGCTACGCTACTGTTGTAATGTCTTTCTAAGCATGTGTCCTATCAACACACACACCCTTTTTCTTATTTCTTTTTATCTGGAATGTATCTGCACCTCTGCCAATTACTGGATACTAAAGTGAAAAGAGAAGATACTGGGACAAAACACAGTCCAGCTAGCAAAAACTAGAATCAAATTAAATGTGTAAAATATGCGTGTTCCAAAACCACACAAAAGGTACCACACCGAATTCACACAAAAACAATCACAGGAGAAACGCATATGACGATTAAACAATCTATAAAATGAGCTGAATACAGCCCTTGGGAAACCAATCACATTATAGTAGGTCAAATACAAAACATGGAGCTTGTTTATGTTACGCAGAAGTAAATACCAGACACACACACGAGTATGTAAGATAGAAAAATTGGAATATAGAAACCGAATGGCAGAGTATGGAAGCTATTAAGAAAATTAATTAGAATCGGGCCTACCTTCTGCACTGAAAGCTTTAAACTCTATTTCATCTTCCTTCATTAATTTTGATATTACTTTAGTTTTACTTTTATCGGCTTTATCTGAGAGAGTAAACATACACAGCGGTAACATCTAACAAATGCCCAAGGATTAAAAGATCATGTAGGGTCTGACAGAGTTCAGACAAGATTTGGGGAAAATATCGCTGCTTCAAGAAAAATTCAACTGCAACCAAAGTTTCTTCCCGGCATCTGTTTTAATTTCTTATAACGGAAGAAAGTCTACCGTTCCCCGAACGAAATGGAATATATATATAGAAAACATATAATTTTAACAGTGTCCTCCCCCCCCCCCCCCCCCGAAAATTTCAAATGCCCCCCCCCCCCCGGAGAAAAAAAGTCTGGAAGAAACGCTGACTGCAATTTTGAGAGGGGGGGGGGGGTGTTTGGCTTTTTGTGACGTTGTGTGAAGGAGGGGAGGGGGAGGTAAAAATCGTCCAAAAAAGCGTGACGTTATTTATGGATGCTCCCTATATGGGTTGCCTAAATGAGTTGGGGTAAAATCAACGTGACTAAATATTATTTTTACTCAGAGGAGTAGCGGGGGGGGGGGGGGGGGGGGAAGCGGGGGATGCGGCCCGCACCGGGTGACACCATTTAGGGGGGTGACACCAAGGCAAAAAATAGCAAAATATATAGAGAAAAACGATAATTCCACTTAATTAAGTGATTAATTCGAGTGTTAAATAGTGTTTTAAGAGGTGCAAATCGAAAGTCTGAGGGGGGGGGGGGGTTGCACATCGAAAGTTTGAGGGGGGTGCTAATCACAAGTTTGAGGGGGGTGCAAATCGAAAGTTTGAGGGGGTGCAAATCGAAAATTGAAAGTTTGTACCCGGGAAGGGTCGCTACGCCTCTGGGGGTGACACCATTAAGTGCCGCACCGGGTGACACCCGCCCTCGCTACGCCACTGCTTTTACTGAACCTTAGGACACTTGTCGCTACACGTGTTTCCATAACCTCTCCATCTTGTTTCATGAACGCTACACAATTGACCACGCAAGCACATTCTAGATGCGCCGTTTTTTAAATTTCTAATTTTAACGTAAAAAGTAAGTAAAGTTTCCCTTTCAAACATGACGGTCTATGGGGCAAGTGAAGTATAGTTCACTTGTTTTAATTTTAACGTGGTTATTTTTAATTCATTACTTGAAAAAAAATTAGATCTACATCTGTAGGCTTTGACACAAAAATAACTGATGTAGGCTTACTATGATTTGTTTGGTTGCTTGTTCTGTCAGGGAGGTCTACACCTAACTTCTTTTTAAAGATACCGTGAAATACACCCCCCCCACACACACACACTTCGTGCTTGTAAAAAAATTGCCGCTTTTCATTTTTTTTTAGTTGGTCGGTATACAGTTGCATCTCTGATACATTTGTTCAATCGTTGAGCTTATGTTTTTTAAACACGAGAACTGCCGATTTAATTCACTCATATGCAGTTTTCAATTATTTTTTTTTTAATTTTACAATTTTTAGATGTAATATTTTGATGTAAAATTCAACATGTAGGTGTTCACATTGACCCGACCCCCCCCCCTTTCCCTGCACGCGTACACAAAATTCGATTTTTTCTGATCCCCTCCCCCGTCCCCCCCCCCTCCCCAGCATGGACGTTAAAAAAGCTTTGGTCGCTAACATATGTAAAAGATCTGATAAACGACCATGGCTAATTTTAGAGGTTATTTCGGGTTTTAGAAAACTTTTTAAATAAATTGTAATAGGAATTGATTAAAATACTCTATATAGACAGAGTTCAGACACGATTGTGGAAAAATATCGATGTTTAACAAAAATTAAACTGCAATTTTGAGGGGGGGGGGGGGGGGAGGTTGTAGGCTGAGGTGTGACGTCATTTTAGGAGTAGGGGTCTAGCATTTTGTGACGGAGGGGAGGGGGAGGTAAAAATCATCAAAAAAAGCGTGACGTCATTTATGAATGACCCCCTTTTTTAAAAAAATTTTAAACATCTGAACTATATCTTAATTATTTATTATTAAAAAAGCGAAAATAAATTTCCATGTATTTTTTGTAGGAAACACGGTTATGGTCCCTAGTTAGTAAGTCACAAACATTGAGTAGGCCTAGCATAATATCTCAGAAATTGTTGTGAAAATGTTACCGGCGACAAGGGCAAACATTATTCTTCTGTTGTTAAAACGAAATATTAGTACAAGTACATGCCTTTGCGGAGCTAAAACACGAAAGCCTTGGGACGAACGGTTTCCTGTAAGAAAAGAAGATGTTTCACCTGATAAAAGGGGAGGCAGTAGAAAAATGGCACAAGTTTTACCAGAAAACAGTGAGAAAACATTTTTCTAGACTATACTATTTTTTTCTAATAGTCACTCTAATTATCTAATACCGTAAAATCACGATATAGCGTCGGAAATTATTGGGTAATGTTCGTTGAGTTTCGGTAACATTCGTTACTGTAAACCATAGTTTATTTGACCGGTGAAATAAAAATAAAGTCAAGTGCATTAAATTAATGTTTTAACTTAATTTACAGTTTAATTGACAGAAAATTAATAACAGATAGAAAATCTAAATATTATTAATAAACTCAAGTGTAGTAATTAATTATTTTTTTTTAAGAAACAGAAAAAACCTGCAGAAGATTTGCGACAACCAGCTCTTGTTCTGTTAGTAAATAAGACGATTAGATTAACTAAAGTTAAAAGTAGTAAGAATAACTAGAATAATGTTTAGTAGCAGCAAAAATTAGCACATACACTTAAAATAATTAGAAATACAAAATAATTAGCAAAACAGTATTTAAAATGCAACAAAAATCAATCCTTGCACATTTTTAAACATTATGTATTAAAAATAATATGGCGGCAAATAAATGATGGTTTACAGTATTTCCGGTGGTTTCCGGAACGGCTCGACAGACTACGCCATGGTTTTACTGTTTTTTTACTGCTGTACAGTTCCGGAATAATAACCGACGCTATATCGTGATTTTACCTCTAATACAATAGTAATAATCTAATAGTGTCTAATACTATTATTAGTAGGCCTATAATTTTAAAAATACAATTTATGGCCTAGCCTAGATCTAGACTCGATTTGATAGCAGCAATGCTTATTAATTATTAAATTTTAAATCTCCTCATCCTATTAATTATTAATAATTATTTTAATATAGAATCTAGAATAGATCAATATATTATTAATAGTAGCATTGTAACAAAAAATGACACCTTAGACTAGCTAGATTCTTATTTCTAGATTAGTTAATATAGTTCAAATCGAAATTAATCATCACATGGTAAGACTTAATACGAACTGACCCGCGGCGTATCGTACGCAGCTATGTAGTTGTTTTATTTTCTACTTTTCAGTAATTCATAATTTGTGAATTCAGTACCAGGGCGATAACCCCCCCCCCCCCCTGAAAGCAGCCTCCTCTTAGTTACCTCCTCCCCTAGGCTAAGTTTAAAATCGTTTCAAACTACATTATCTGCCCCTAATAGCTGTCACTAAACCCGGCTCTAGGATTGTAAACATTTAGCGTGAGCTACAGCTCACCAGACCATGTAGGGGTGGGGGAGGTAGGGAGCGCGCTTACAGCTTGTTGTCTATCGTCTCCAAGAAGAGAATTATATATATAGATAATACGTAGTTAATCAGTTATAGTTAGGCCCTATCTATAGGCTTAAGTTATTTTACTATTTTTATTATTATTATGCAATATAGTTTTATGTACTATGCTATAGGCCTACTATATAGTATTTAGTATTGATTGATATGCATAACTAACCTAATTATTCAATACCATTACCCCATAATTTTACCACAATGCTAATCAAAATGATTGATTGATTGCTTTTCCTTTTTTTAGTTGTGGCTCCAACAGGCGTATACCATAGAGTAACCAAAAAGTATATACATGTGCCAGAAATGGTGCCAGAGTTTGTTGTGCCAGACCTTACTGGGTTTGAGGTATTGATTTACTTTGTTATTTTACTCTACACAACAAAAAACAACATATGTAAAATTAAATAATTTAATTACAACCTTGTTTTTTAAAAATGTATTACATAATTCTTTAAAGGCATTGTTCCAACTTTCTGTTTCAGCTTAAGCCTTATGTGTCATACAAAGCTAAAGAGATTACTCAGTTACCTTTATCACCCCAAGACATTTTCAATACTGTTTATGCTGAAGAAATAAAAAGTAGCTTTGAAAAGGGCGAGCTCAAAATAGATGACAATAACATTGTATTAGCTGATGGAAAGAAAATAAGCATTGACCAATAAAAAACAAAAATAAAATACATCTTGTTTTTTGTAGTCTTTGATTAAAGACTTAATTTTAATGTTGTCAGCAAGTTTGTTTTATGTGAGTTCAAGTATTGTCCTCAAAATATGATTTCAACTTCACTTCTCATTTTTCATAACTAAATTTATGCATGTTTTAACTCACACTGACATAGATCTATATATAGTCCCTTTACCTCTCCTATGGGTTATAATAGAAGAAAAATCATCCTAAGTATTTTAAATTTAAGGCAATAAGCCATAACTTTCCCTCTCTCTGGTCTCCTTCCTTTTCTGTAATTACATGCATTAAATCATTTTGTAGATTCATTAAAAATGTATACCAATAGCAGTAAGTAAGGAAAATATTTTATTTAAGCTGTCAACTTCTGTTGTATCTCAAGGAAATCATGACAGCAAGTATGATGATAATTTATCCGGAGATATAATCTTAGGTACCAATATTTTATTAGCGCAATAATTAGTTTTTGAAGCAGTCAAAGGAAATTCATTACAACAAACACTACAGCTAAGTTTTGATAAAACTGAAGCAATATAATTTAATATATAGCTGCTAGAAAATACTCAACCTATCACATTTACAAAGTTGTTGCACAGATTATTGGCACCTACTAAAAATACTTGATTACACTGTCAGTGTTTCTGTTTTACTGTGTTAGTTAAATGACAAATTAGTGACAGTTTGGACTATGCAGCAACTATTACATTGAGTACACATTTGTTACAATAAACTTGATGGAATCGATCAATAAAATATGTAAGTGTCAACTGAATAGTTTCTTTGCAAGTCTTCATCAGGGTTTTATTCATCAAATGAGGCATTTCCCTTATTTGCATCTTTTATTTAAATTTCTTTTTTTGTGTTTAAATCAGAATTTTCTTCATATTTCCTTGCTCTCTGTACTGCACTTATTTTTTTCAGTAAAATGTATTCTTTTAGGAATTAAAAAATAAAAGCCACTGTAGGCAAAAAATTAGTTTTAATCAATTAGCCCGAAAAATGGTGTAAAAAATTGCCTCCCCGGCGGGGAATCGAACCCCGGTCTCCCGCGTGACAGGCGGGGATACTTACCACTATACTACCGAGGACACAACCTTGATTAAGTTTTAAAGCAAATATTCTACTATTAGTCATATCTACCAATAGGGAATTCTATGTATGTCAATGTATGATATTGTAATTGAATATTACCCCCCGATATAAGTTATTGTTTAATTATAATTTTGTATTAATATCGCTGACTAATATTTTTATTTGTATTTATTTAGAGGGAAATACTAAATATGTTTTAAAATGAATAATCATTCAGGTAATAACCTCATCTTTCAAAGTATATTTTGGGGGAAATCCCATTCAGTATAAAAAGTTAAAGTAACAGCCTACAATGTTTTGATGGTCGCCATCTTCGGCACCATTCTTACACTTTCACACATAACAGAATGACTGTGGAACAGTCGCCGATTCCACTTAGAGCCGGGCAGGTATGTTTTAAATTGCGATTTTTAATAAAATTAGTGCATCAGAATGTGGTTTTATGCTGGCTCCAGATTTCACCTAAATTGTACAGCCGTTAGACTAGATCTAGTGTCTATTGTTGAAGAATGAAGATTGATGAAGATTGAAGAATGAAGACTAGATTAGAGAATAGGTCACTAGAGTTGACTAAAGAGAGAGAGAGAGACTCACTACTGACTACTGACTAAGTAAAGTATTAATAAGTCTGAGACTCTAAGCTAAGACTAAGACTCAGTCTACTAGTCTAAGTCTAGTACTAGATCTAGAGTAGATATCTAGACTCTAGATCAAAACATCTATTCTAACTTAAATTAAAGTCTAGCTAGGCTGCTAGAGAGAGACTCATCAACAAATCACCCAAGACCAGATTCTACATTTCTAGTCAGATCTAGAATCTAGATCTAGATCTAGATTCTAGCTACTGTAGCTACCTAGTGACAGTCTCTCTTTCTTTACACATATACACAACTACACTCTGTCTACAGTCTACACTACACTACACACACTCTCTACTGCACTTTACATCTACAGTCACCTCTCTAGCTTGTACACTACATGTACACATAGCTTGGCTAGGCTAACGGCTAAAGAGATCTAGATCTAGATCTAGATCTAGTCAACTCTAAAGTCTAAGCTAGTAATTAGTCTCTTTGATACTAGTACTAGATACTAACTTTATGGATAGAAATTAGGGTTAGGTGTATGATAGGACTAGGGTTGGGGTTATGCATAGTGTTCACATTGACATTAGCAAACCATTTTAGTTAACTACCAGTAACACTCCTTTATTAAGAAGATTATATTTGTCTATGTTATCAGAATGATAAATGAAAATAAATAAAGTTTATTCGCTAAATAGATAGGCATCAGAATAAAGATTTGTTCCTATATAATCACTAGAGAACTCGTGAGGAATCCTCTTTAGCAAAGATCAAGGAAGTGACAGGAGCCCCGGATAACATTATTGAAGAGGCCATAAAGGCATGCCTGCGTACTGATGGCACATACAAGCTGGAGGATGTTGTAACAACAATCATTGGGGATGATATTTCCCTGGCCAAGGGAAAACCGCCAAAAGTACTTGAAATTATTAATTTAATATCTGATTTTCAGTCTTTAAATTAAGTAAAAGTATAATTCTCATTCTCAATGTAGAAAATTTTAGTTTTACTTGCCTTTGTTGTATTTAATTAACTTTTTACCTCTTTTCTGCTCTTTTGTTGTGCTATGTAGTTAATGTGTTTCATGTGCTAAGGTTAGTAAACAAACATTTTAGACCTAAGATATTTTACTAATTTATCGTCCAATAAAATTTGAGCAGAACAGAACTCGTCAGACCAATGTCAAGTCTGAAGACCAGGTGGATGCTTTACCTGGGCATTCATCTTCACCTGATGCACAGAAACAAGTAGCCATGTCTACTGTTAGTGCTAAGCAAGCCACAGATGGTAAGTAACCATTACAAAGGATTCCATTTAAAAAAATCTAAAATAAATAATTCATTTAATTATTTCATCTTTTTATACAAAATGCAGACACATTGCTTGTGAAATTATTATTTTTTTGTGTGCACGATTTTTACCCTCACCTTGGCCCTTAGCATAGCTCTAACTTTTTTAAGCAATAAGGTAAAAACAGCTGGATAACACTACCTTTGGTTTTAATTGTGTTGTATTTGTATATGTGGTGCTTTTGCTTCTTATATCTTTTATACTGATTTTTTGAAAAATATTTTACTCAGAGTACATTGATCTGACAAGAGATCCACAAGGCATTTTGGGTGGTCAAATAAGTCGAGAGGAGCAAGATATCAGCAGGTTTGTGTTACCATTGGTGTCAAGCTTTTATAGCAATTTTACTTGTTGATGAACTTGGCTCAGTTCAGTTTTCAAAATTGTATTTCCGAATAGTCTTTTTTTCAAATGTAATTATTTCATGTTTTGAATACTCCTGGTGTTGGACTTTAACTAGAATGTGTAATTCCTATGTTTTATCATTTTAATTTTTAGTTTAGGAAGTTAGTCCAGCAGCTCTAACTAGGATACCTTACTTTATTCATGTAGAGTTTTGGAAGCCAGTATTGCGGAAAGTAAAGGAACAACAAAAAGGAAACGAGGAGAGCTCTGGTTTATTGATCCATTAAACCCCTATGAGCGCAAACGTGTAGATGGGTGGCCAGTGGGGCTGAAGAATGTGGGCAATACTTGTTGGTTTAGTGCTGTGATCCAGGTCAGTCACTGCATTAGTTGTTTTGAAATAATTTATTCTGGAATTGCTTAGGCAACTTGGAAACTTTAATTTACAAATACTATGATTTTGCCTTATTGCCACTTACTGTAATACAATAAGGTGAAATTAGGTGAATTCTATATTAGACCACACAATTCCTTCAAATGCAGTACTCACAGAAAAGGTGAAATACCACATTGAATGGGTGATCTGATAAAATGTATTTCTTTTTTACTTTGTATTGACAAAAATTTATATTTTTACTTTTTTGATTGCATTGAGAGTATCTTTGTTAGGCAACACTCATAGTTTGATGGATGGATTAAGGAGACAAACATCATATCATGTTGATATTGCTATATTATTTTATCTGGTGCTTCAACTGTTGTTATTCAGCTCATATGAGTTACAACAGCAATACATCAGTTACAAATCTGTACTTTTTAAAATGACTTTTTTAAATATTCACCAGATTCATACAAAATCTGGTAACATACAATAGAGGTAATGACTGTGACTAAGGCAGCAAATTGTAAAAGAATACTGTAAATCAACCGGACTAAAAACATTGATATCTTATTTCAGTCTTTATTTCACATTAGAAAATTTCGAGAGATTGTGCTCCATTACCAACAGCGGCCAGTAACAGAAGGAGAGGTGATATCTCTTTTACAAATAGTGTTGTTACATAAGTTCTTGTTGTTGAGTATTTGTATTCCTAGAGCATTGTAAAATAGAACAGAAATTTTCTAGTTTTAAATTGCGTGGCTTTTATTTTAGAAAAATATTAAATTTTCAGGTCGCCAGAAATCTTCGGTTTGTCACTGAGCTGCGTCACTTGTTTGCCTTTATGGTTGGATCACATCGCAAGTATGTGGACCCAAGTAAAGCTGTAGATATTTTAAAAGAAGCATCTGCCACGACAGTCTTGGATGGGCAGCAGGTAAAGTATCTGTCATGATTTATAATATGTTTGGGTTTTGAAACTATGGTAGATAAAATAAACTGACTAAATATTTAATTAATTTGCCTACTTTCAGCAACAAAGCCAGCTACATCACCTCTTACATTATATTGTAAAACCAAATATTTTATTGCTTCAGTTAACCCCAAAATTAAACCAAATAAACTAAGAACTCCGTAAACTCCTCCATTAGATCATTAAACTCCTCCATTATATTATTTAATCCAAAATAACCAATCATTTGATAAACTTCTCCATGAAATCATTAAACTTAATGTTATGTAAAATGGACTCCAGAATTACATTATTAAACCTATAAACTCCTAGGATGTGAGTGAGTTTCAACACAAGCTCCTGGATTGGTTGGAGGATGCTTTCAGTTCACCTGCTTCACAGAGGTGAGACGTTGACCAGTTGATTTGAGGATGTTTGTTTATTTTAATGAGAATTGGGGATTGCTTAGCATCATGTTTGAGTTTGCACATTTGAAGTTAATTAGGCAGACTTTTAAACAAAATTCTGCTTCTTTCTATTTAATGTGTGGTCATTGATAAATATTTATATTAAAATTCTTAAACTTAACTAACACTTTGTTTCAGCGTAGAGAATCCCGTCCACCAGCTCTTTCAGGGGAAGTACAAAGCTGAAGGTTTCCATGAGGGTGAGTTTTAATTTGATGTGTGATTGACGTTTCTGCCAATGGTTGGTGTTTTGTCATTGACTTATACTGTGATTTGTGTTAATTTTCTATGATAACGTGTGATTGATATTTTAAAATGTAATTGCATTATGGTCTTTCATTGATGTTTTGATGTGTAATTGATGTTGTGACAGTTTGACCTGTGATTGATGTTTTTAAGTGCAACTGACGATTGATGTGATTATCATTTTCCCTCCCAGGTAAAATGTTTACACAGGAAGTGACCTTTGGCCAGTACCCTTTGAATGTTGTTGGCTTCCATGACCTGCATGAAAGTCTAGAGGCCACCACAGCCCAGGGTGAAATAGAGACCATTAGTGGAGATTCCAGCCAGAAGTCTGGACAAGAGGTGGGTAGTTTGAACCTTACAGTAGCTGGTTGTCATAACAACAGGCCATAGTGGATTGATCCCAACACTTGCTGATCATAGCCAAATATCTTGTTACTCATCCTTACTAATATTACTGAGGTGCTTTAATACTTCTTCTTCTTAATCCCGTTAGTGCCCAAGACACTTGGCGCAGATGAAATACAGTTCATCTGAGTCATAGACCTAGGCATATAAAGGGATAGTGTGGTCAGCACTATGCCCAACAGAGATCAGAGCTGGGTGGACTCAGGGACGTTCCACTGATTTGAACCCTGATTCGAACGCTAGGCCACGCCGTCCCTTGTTTTAATACTAAAAACAACACATGACCCTAGCTTAAGAGAAAATTATATTTAACTACGCTGATCATAAACCGCTATGGTGCTTGTATTTATTTCTTATGTTAATATTCAGAACAAGTATTTTATCTGTGTTTGGCTTTGCAGTACTATTAATCTCAATACTAATTGATATATTGTTTTGTCCACCTGACAATTTAAAAAGTGGTATTATGAATGTAAGAAAACATTCAGCAAGTTTAAAGAAAATATCTTTTTTCATTCAGCTGATCTTTAGAATTTCCAGTTTTAGTATCAGGAACAATTATATTTAAAAAAAAAATGTTATACCATAGACTTGATTTAAATGTTGGTCACTTAGCATCATCATTGTGTTTACCCTGACTTGTTTTGTCTGTAGATTTGGTTCACACATTTGCCGGTCGTGCTGACCTTTGAGTTGTCTCGCTTTGGCTTCAACCAGCAGCTAAACCGAGCAGAGAAGATCCACCAAGAGCTCTCATTTCCTCCTGTTATTTATGTTGATAGGTAAGCTGAGCTTTAACTAGCTAAATGTTGGGAGGGAATTATCAAGCTGAGATTCGTTCAGGGTAAATTTTTGTTTTTTTTTTAGATTTTACTGTTGCAGTCAGTAAGTAACAAAATGGTTAAAAAGAAAACTTAAGACAGTGTAAAGTATAGGTATTGAGGCAAGTGGTGGTATGTTGAAAAAAAACAAACTCCTGTGTGAGAGATGAAAGATCAGTGAACAGGTTTGGTTGCTAGATGGAACCACATATGCATTATGGTAACAGCAGTAATAAATGGGCTGTAATTTCAGTATCAGGCAAGTTTTCAGTGCATTGATTTTGTAATTTTTTATGCAGGTATTTGGAGTGTAATAAAACAGTTACAAGACAGAAACGAGAAGAGGCGAGAAAATTAAAAGATGAACTTAGTAGCCTGCAGGCCAGGCTAGACAAGTAAGTTTTAGTCAAGTTAGATTCATTATAGGCAGATCTGAGAAGTTATTTATTTACAGCGACACTTGTAAGCATGCTAGAGAAATAAATGTATTGTCAAATTAGATAAGTTATGGGCTTGTTAGAAAAGTTAGATACAGCAAAACTAGATACGTTTTAAGCAGGCTAGAAATGTGTATTCAAGAAATATGAGTTGGCTCAAGTTTTAGAAATTGATTTGATCAGTGATTTAAAAACTTTTCTTTATACATTTAATTTGTTAAACTAGGTTTGTGAACTACGGGTCAAGTAACAAACGATATCCCCTTCCTGATGTTTTGAAATATGCACTAGAGTTTGCTGAGAGCTCCCCTACCCAAGAACCACTGCTTAGACCTTCAACCCCTCAACACCCTAATGATATTGAAATGGAATCTCCCATTTTGTGTTCCAGGTCAGTTTTGAAAATTATGGTAAATTTTTGTTTAATGCAATTAATGTGTTGTAAGCTTCATCTGACTTGTATAATACTTTATTTCTATTGTCAATGTTTTTATTTAAAGTTATATTTATATATTTATTGTGCTGCTTTATTATTTTATTATATCAGAAGCAATTCTTTTTTTTTTGTTTCTTCGTTTTGTGTAAATATAACAGCTTGTTAATAGAAAAGATTTTCAATGCAACTCAAAACCATTACATTTTAATAAAAAAAAATTTCTTTTACCAATTCATGTTAACGTTTTTTTATGTGAGAATTTACCAGATAATTCAGTAATTTATTCTATCACATTTTAAAATCATTTTTTGACAGGGCATCTCAGAGTGTGACGATGTCCATTGACTTGACGCTGACCCCAACCACCCAGCCACTGTCAGAACTGGGTGGCGCCACTGTCCCATGCGGCTCTGACCGTGGCATCCAGTCCAAGACCACATCCTCCACTCTCTCCTCCTCTCCTGTCCCTGAGGCCAAAAAGTTCAAAGACTCCTCGGTGCAGGTAGAGTTTGATGCCACGCTGATGCCCTCGAGTGTGGTGATGCCAGGCACCAATGTGTCTTTCACGGCCAGCCTCCCTGTTGTCCAGCCGGCCAGCTCGCTTTTTGATCCACACCCGCGGAGTGTGACCACAGAGGAGCTGAAGGTTCTACAGGACTGTCTGAAGAGGTGGAGGGAGGAGGTGGAGACTGATGTCAGAGGTCAGTTACATGGTAGTTACAGGGCATTGGTCAGTTATATGGTAGTTACAGGGCATTGGTCAGTTATCTGGTAGAGGGGTTAGGTTAGTTATATGGTAGTTACAGGGCATTGGTCAGTTACATGGTAGTTACATGGCATTGGTCAGTTTTCTGGTAGTTACAGGGCATTGGTCAGTTACATGGTAGTTACAGGGCATTGGTCAGTTAAGGTGTGGTACATGGTGGTTAGATGGGTTAGGTTAGATAGTGTTATGTGGTAGTTAGACATCATGGTTAGTATTACCTGGTGCTTAGAGAGGTTAGGTGAGTGTTATGAAGTGGTGGAGTATTCACTGGTAACCAAGTGGTTCAGTAGTTACAAATAATAGAATAGTTACAGGGAGTTACTACATGGTGGGGTAGTTACAGGGTAGTTATCACAAGTTATGGTAGTTCCAGGCATATAGTTTGCTGGTATATTATGTTCATAAAACATTCACAGTTTATTTCTTGTCTTCCAGAACTTCAGAGAAATATCTCAGTTCTTGAAGGAAAACTGGATGGGATGTACTCCGATGAGTATATGATGAAGGTAAATGTTGAAATATGTAATATAATCTAACAACAGTGAACATGTTAAGTAAATAGAAGTTTAGTCATCACACAATAAATAGTTAATTTTAAGTTAACTTTTCAAACCTAAAGGCCAATGGGACAAGTGAAGTAGAGTGTGGTCAGTACTATGTCTAGCCGCCTTTACTTTCCCTAATGCGAGTTAGGTAGCTATTAGAGGTGGGTGAACTCAGGGATGTTCTACTGACTTGAACCCAGATTCCAACTCGAGACTTTCACATAATCCATCTAGCGCTCTACCGCTAGGCCACGCCATCCCCCATCACATCATAATGTGACATTTTCCCACCACAACACTTAAGTTCTAGCAGTTATGCTGTTGTTTGAAGTTATAAGTTAAGACTTAGCACTTGATTCATGGCAGTAGCTTGTATGTTGCTGATCTCTTTCATCCTCAAAGTATGTCATAATGTGACATTTTCCCACCACAACACTTAAGTTCTAGCAGTTATGCCCTTGTTTGAAGTTATAAGTTAAGACTTAGCACTTGATTCATGGCAGTAGCTTGTATGTTGCTGATCTCTTTCATCCTCAAAGTATGTCATAATGTGACATTTTCCCACCACAACACTTAAGTTCTAGCAGTTATGCCGTTGTTTGAAGTTATAAGTTAAGACTTAGCACTTGATTCATGGCAGTAGCTTGTATGTTGCTGATCTCTTTCATCCTCAAAGTATGTCATAATGTGACATTTTCCCACCACAACACTTAAGTTCTAGCAGTTATGCCGTTGTTTGAAGTTTTTATAAGTTAAGACTTAGCACTTGATTCATGGCAGTAGCTTGTATGTTGCTGATCTCTTTCATCCTCAAAGTATGTCATAATGTGACATTTTCCCACCACAACACTTAAGTTCTAGCAGTTATGCCATTGTTTGAAGTTATAAGTTAAGACTTAGCACTTGATTCATGGCAGTAGCTTGTATGTTGCTGATCTCTTTCATCCTCAAAGTATGTCATAATGTGACATTTTCCCACCACAACACTTAAGTTCTAGCAGTTATGCCGTTGTTTGAAGTTATAAGTTAAGACTTAGCACTTGATTCATGGCAGTAGCTTGTATGTTGCTGATCTCTTTCATCCTCAAAGTATGTCATAATGTGACATTTTCCCACCACAACACTTAAGTTCTAGCAGTTATGCCGTTGTTTGAAGTTATAAGTTAAGACTTAGCACTTGATTCATGGCAGTAGCTTGTATGTTGCTGATCTCTTTCATCCTCAAAGTATGTCATAATGTTACATTTTCCCACCACAACACTTAAGTTCTAGCAGTTATGCCCTTGTTTGAAGTTATAAGTTAAGACTTAGCACTTGATTCATGGCAGTAGCTTGTATGTTGCTGATCTCTTTCATCCTCAAAGTATCCTTACCATCTTCATGCTGTGCTAGTCCACGAGGGGCAGGCTGTGTCTGGGCACTACTGGTCTTTCATCTACGACGACGGTCGGGGCCGCTGGCTCAAGTTTAACGACATCACCGTGTCCGAGTCGTCGCTGGAGGAAATGCACAAGGAGAGTGTGGGGGGTTTCCACAATGCCAGCGCCTACTGTCTGATGTATGTGGACAAATCCCGACTGGACACTGGTCAAGGTAAAGTAGGATGTGTTTCTATTGAAATGAAAGCTAGATTTATCCCTGGATAAGTTAAGTAGTTCCAAGTTTCATCTCTTGCAGAAGGTAGGCAGTACAAATATTTAAAGCGCATTTTCAGACATGGTGCTCCAAATGGGCAGGTGAAGTAGAGTTCACCTGTTTCTGTCACCTTGTATGATCTATTCTAATTACACTGCTGCCCTTTGGAAAATTCTACAACACAATTTTTAGAAATAAACCATGTAGCTAAATTTTTAAGTGACTGACTGCATTGGTGGTCAGACATATTGTAATTATCTAAATCCCTGATTAAAACATCAGAAAAATGAACCGATGTATTCTGCTGTGACAACAGGTGATTCCATCAACTTGATCCAAACGTTGCCGTCCCTGCCCACGGACCTGCGCCAGTTTGTGGAGGAGGACAACACTCTGTTCAGACAGGAGCTCCACCTGTGGGACGAGGAGCAGAAGAGGAAGTCTAGTGCGGCCGCTGCTGCGTCTGTCGTCTTGAGAAACGTGGATCATGACACTCAGACCAGGTCAGGGGCTGACGACCCTGATGTCGTTGTCACTGGTGAACAGAGGCCAGGTATGAACTGCTTCTGCTAGTATAAGCTATTGCCACAACTTTTCTCTCACACATTCTGTAATATAGCTATTGTCACATCTTTTGTTTATCAACTTCTATATATGTCCATCTGTTGTATAGCTATTGCCACTACTTTTCTCTCACACCTGTAGTGTAGCTGTTGTCACTTCTTTTACATATGACCTTTTTTTTGTAAAGCTATTGCCACAACTTTTTTTACAAAAATTTTATTGCTGCAATTCTTGGGTTATGTGTGTGTAGGATAATTAGTAAGGCCTAAACATCCTGTTTAAGTACATGATTGCACAGTCTTATTGATAGGGGCTTGTTTTTTTCTGTTGAGCTATCAGGTGAATCTAACATTTACAGTGTCTCAGCCAATAAGCATTTACTGCCTTAGTGAATACAATTTCTTTTTTCCTTCAATCTTACTTGGTTAATTTGGTTCCTCATGTTTGTGTCCAAAATGTGTACTTGAAGGTCAGTCAGGAGAGACAATACGACCGGTCAACTCTGCGGTTGTTCGACTGGCAGACCAGCATGCCCAGCTGTCATTGGGCAGCACTTTAACTGCAGTCACCAACATCACCTGCAATAACCCACAAGAAGTGCTTCCTAAGGTACACCTGTTGCTTCATAAACCTCTCTCTTCTTGAAGCTCGTTTCTCTTTGTACCTATCTATTCATTAACCTCTCTTCTCTTGTACCTGTCTCCTTCTAACCTTTCTCTTTGTACCTGTCTCTTCCTGAACCTCCTTTCTCTTTGTACCTATCTCTTTATTAACCTCTCTTCCCTTGTACCTGTCCCCTCTTGAACATTCTAACCTTTCACTTTGTACCTATCTCTTCATAAGACTCTCTTCTCTTGCACCTGTCTCTTCTTGAACCTCCCTTCTCTTTGTACCAACTTATTTAATACTTCTTTCTTCTCTTTAAAACTTGGTCCCTCTACATTTCTTGCTAAATATTACTTTTTATCTTTTCTTAATATTCTACCAATACAGTTTTTGGACATATACTAATGTTTCTTTTCTATTCTCTAGGCGTTTGATAATGAATTAAAGAGACTGAAGGAAGCGTCTCGGCTGGCTAGCAACCTTTTGCCAATGGAAGACCAAAGGCTGAGCCACATTGTGTTGTTTCTGTTGTGTTGCCAGGCAGACATACACACAGTTGAGATCATTCTCAGTGAGCAGTTTGCCCTGTGTGGGATGCTACAGGCCAGCAAGTAAGTCAACACCTGCATTGTGGTAGTTTTAAGATGAATGCTTGGTCACTAGTTGTTGTAGTTTAAAGGTTTATGGTTTAATGCTTGGTCACTACCTGCATTGTCGTAGTTTAAAGATGAATGCTTGGGTACTAGTTGTTGTAGTTTAAAGGTTTATGGTTTAATGCTTGGTCACTACCTGCATTGTCGTAGTTTAAAGATGAATGCTTGGTCACTAGTTGTTGTAGTTTAAAGGTTTATGGTTTAATGCTTGGTCACTACCTGCATTGTGGTAGTTTAAAGATGAATGCTTGGGTACTAGTTGTTGTAGTTTAAAGGTGTAAGCTTTTAGGCTGTGGTCATTACCTGCGTAGTGGTAGTTTAAAGATGAATGCTTGGGCACTAATTGTTGTTTAAAGGTTTAAGGATTTAGGCTGCTATCACCACCTGCATTGTATTACCTGCACTGGAATATATTTCTTTGATGGAGTAAAGCAACAATTTTTTCAGATGCTTGTGTCATTTTAAGTTATTTTCTAAAGCAGATCCAGTCAATTTAGTGAAGCTCCAGCAAAATATTTCTTGCTAATTAATAGTTGTAGAGATGAAAGATTGTGTTAATAATTTCAAAATTCTTCACGCCACTAGTTTTTAAAGAATTTTTTTTCTCTAGTTTTAAAGGTGTCAGGCAACAGGCACACGAGGTCTACAAAAAGTTGTGTAACTCTGTCGGGCATGAAGGCATCAAACACTATGAGGTAATCACTAGTTTACTCTTCCAGTTCAAGAAATCATTAAGCAAATAGTTTGATTCTCTTTAAAAGGCTTTTTAAACTTATTTCAATAAAAAACAACAAACAGAACTATACGACTGTGATTGGTATCTGGGGTACAACACTAACATTGGCTGGTAAACTTGATTACTGGATTATTGAAAGGTTTTTGATTACTCTTAGTCTGGTGGCCATCATTGAGTCTTCTGTGAGTACTTGACTCTAAATAGGGCAAAGAAAGAAATCTGGGCATTGTGCATATCTCACAATCCTGATCACAGAAATGTACCCAAAAGATATATTACTACTTTATTGTGTTTGAGAAAGTGTAGACCAGCTTGAAATAAAATTTCCTGAAAAGTACATCATATTCTAAATTCACCATTTCACAAGTTAACTCCCTTGCCGGGGTTGTCTCCCTCAATGAATAAATTTTGATCTCCCTGCAGTTTTGGCACAGACGCTACCACCACTACAGGCAAGCTGTGTTTATGTTCAACAAGGCCATTGAGGCCTACTGCACAGAAAGGTAACTCACAGGCTTTTTAGTTTAATGCTATACTTTAGTACATTGTGTTTGAACTTTTTGTTCAAGATTTTGCCTGGGGCATGTTTATGAGTCCTCACAGCTGTGATGATTAAAGTGTCTGTGCAATATATTTTTTAGTGTTGTGTTTATGACTTCTAACAATGATGATTGAAAGGTTGTGTCTGTGTAGTATAATTTCTAATGTGTTTATGGCCTAACGTAATGATGACTGAAATGTTGTGTCTGTTTAGTATAATTTCTAATGTTGTGTTTATGGCTTGAAGCAATGATGATGAAATATTACGTCTGTATAGTATAATTTCTAATGTTGTGTTTATGGCTTGAAGCAATGATGATTGACATGTTGTGTTTATGGAGTATATTTTCTAATGTTGTGTTTATGGCCAAATGATGATTGAAATGTGTCTGTATAGTATAATTTCTAATGTTGTGTTTATGACTTGAAGTAATGATGATTGACATGTTGTGTCTGTGCAGGTACCAGGAAGCGTTGCCTTACTTTAACCAGGCTTGCCTTCACAACTGTGAGCCTGGTCTGACTAAAGACTTAGGCTCTTGTGGGCTTGACCCTAAGATGTTGTCCTACTTTAGGAGGATTAGTTTACAGGTAACTATTCACTTCCACATTTTAAAATAGGATTTTTTTTTTTTTACATAAAACCTGATCTCACAATCCTATATCTTTATCACTAGCCTGATATTAAATATGTCAAACTAGCTGTTACATCCTTACCACAAGCTACTGTTAAAAGATTCTGATGGCCTATATAATATACATAACATTGAACTGTGAAATTCTAGGGTGATGCTGCATAACATTGTATAATATTTCTAGAGGGTGAACAATGAAACACTGAAGAGCTTTGAGTGTGATGCTACATAACAATGTATAATATTTCTAGAGGGTGAACAATGAAACACTGCAGAGCTTTTAGTGTGATGCTACATAACAATGTATAATATTTCTAGAGGGTGAACAATGAAACACTGCAGAGCTTTTAGTGTGATGCTACATAACAATGTATAATATTTCTAGAGGGTGAACAATGAAACACTGAAGAGCTTTGAGTGTGATGCTACATAACATTGTATAATATTTCTAGAGGGTGAACAATGAAACACTGAAGAGCTTTGAGTGTGATGCTACATAACATTGTATAATATTTCTAGAGGGTGAACAATGAAACACTGAAGAGCTTTGAGTGTGATGCTACATAACATGTATAATATTTCTAGAGGGTGAACAATGAAACACTGAAGAGCTTTGAGTGTGACGAGGACATGACAGATGCCCTGACCATCATGACAAACCAGATCCTGCCCACACTGATACACTTGGCTGCCTCCGACATGAAGGACGACATCACCTGTGTTGAGGACATCAGAGAAAAATGGTGCAGGTTCTTGGAGAAAGACTTGACAGGTACTCTATGCCTTCATCATCTTTTCCCTTTTGTGTCCAAGACATATGGAGCCGCCACAGAAAGTCAGTCTTCCGCAATTTTCCTAGCAGTGCCCCATACAGTCGTGCCTCTATCAGCTGATTCACTGTTGTGCCCTTCCTTGTCTCTCTTAGTCTTCCCTGCTTTCTTTTTCCTAGAGGCGCCCAGTTTAGCAGTTTAGTACCATTCCTGCAATACCAACTTTTTTAGGACTATTGTCTGCCTTATAAATCTGTAAACATGCTTGTCACAAAATTTGCTTTACACATTTGGTTGAAGTTTTAATCTGTAATTAATTAAAATTGTAATTAAGATAATCAGAGATAACTGGTTTTGTCTGACCTGTCAGGTGATAAAATTGAAAGACTTCAAGACCTTCTGTCCAAGATGTTTGAAGCCAACGGCACCATGGCGCAGGACTTGACCATGGTCAGGGACTCAGGTCTGCGAGAGAACTTGCAGGACGGGTACAGCCGAGCCATGAGGAAGTTGAAAGAGAGGGGGGACCTCAACTCTTGGCTGGACACAAGCTAGCTTGACCTGGCCTGGTGTTACTTGTATTTATTGCTGATCTTAGTCATAGTTGATGTAGACAGTTGTTTTATGTATCTGACATATGGCTGTACAAAATAGTTTTTAAATCTTAGTTTAGTCACAGCTCAATGAAAAACTTATTTATTTTGGTAGCAGTTTTTCTTAAGGTAGCTGTAGTTTTTATATGGTAGGTAACCGTACAGTAGGTTTGTTATGTAGTACCCTCCGGGTGTCATAGTTGACTTCAAAGTTGGGCTTTATTTAACTGCATTGTATTCAAACATATTTAGTTGTGACTTCCACATAAGCTTAACTGAATCTGGTCTGGTATGTTATTGAGAAAAAAACTTAACAGTAATTCATTGTGGCCTGTAAATAACTTAAAACTCAACATGACCTGTATCTGAGCTAAAGCAGGCCATATCAAGTTGGGGATAGGCCCAGAAAAGTTTTCCAGTTCTAGTTTTTTGTTGTTTTCCTTCAGCAGTTGAGTCCAACATTTACTTACTGGCTGAGAGAAAGCTATATCTGATCTTGTATAAAACCAAAGGCAAATGTGATATAAATGTCTGTTTTATCTTGGTCAGTTTGACCCTTCATTTTTTTTTCATGTCCACCATAATCTTATCTTTCTCTGTTCATTCAAAGCATATCATGGTTCAAATATCTTCTACCACCCTTAGAAGTGTTGTGAAAAAACAGCATCTCCAGTTATTTATTTGTATTGAAGTCTTAATTCCCTTATACTGTATATAAAAATGTCTTTGTCAGTCCAGTTAGTCTTATAGTTACAGAAATAATTTTCCACAGCTTAACATAATGGCTGCAATATTTCCTATTTCTGCAAGTGTAATGTTAACAAAAAATGAATGTGTTGCTAAATCTTGTTGTTATCTGACGATTGTCATTTGAAAAAGAATTAGTTGTATTTCCATGTTTAAGTTCACATAGCAAAGAGCAAATTGTAAAAAAATGTTCATCGACCTTTCTTAATGAGCTTGGTATGTGCAGAACTACACCACATAAGAAGTAGAACTCAGATTACAGTGTAAAGCTGATTTTACCAGTATCTTGCCTTCAATTTTTTATTATCTTCTTATCAAAATTTAGTTTCTCAGTTAATATATTTTTAGATGTTTAATTCAGCAAATTATTTAATATTAATAAAAAAAATGTTACTTGATTTAATATAATCAAAAATGTTTCTAATCGAAGCACTGTTTGTTATATCTTCTATCCTGTTTAAACCCCACAGCCTTGTACTAAAACACTGAAGTTTGTAAATACACTGCATACTGTATATTCTAATACTTGTACATACCTGTAATCCATAATAAAAAAATTCACACATTTTGGAAGAGATGTTAATTTTAATATGGAGCTTTAAATTTTGAATGGAAGTTAATTTTATAAAAAATTGTGGAATCATTAAATATAACAGACCAGTAAAATATGACCCTTGTAATCCAAACACCTCAATAAATGGACACAATAATAATCCTAAAAATAAAACATAAAACAATAGCAATACATCTGATGATCAACACCCCCCCCTCCCCCCTTAATTCCAAGAACACTCCAGTATTATTGTGCTATACCCATGTAACCTGAGCAAAAAAAAAAACCTAGCCTTTTCTTATTGGCTGTTTCATTACCCTTTGTTATTTAAACTCTGTAAACCAATGAATCTAAACCCATGTAAATAGTGTGTTCATGTGTGGTTTGATTTGGCTGTATTTGTGTACTAGAACCATATCTCTTTCAACTGTGGCATGGTTGTGAGGTGTTCACAGTTTCATATCAGGTTTATTATGATTTCATTTTTAAAATTCTGTCTACTAAAACAAAATTTATTAAAAGAAAAACAGTCACTCAGTTTTCAGAAAAGTTAAAAAAAATCTATCAGTAAATTTTACATCTATTTTTGTTAACTGTTTTACTAAATTATATATATTTTTTTCTTATATTTATCTTTCCTGTGAATTTTGGTAGAAAATAATTGTTTTTGTAACTATAAAAATGACACTTCAGTTCATATTACACTTGAAGCTGTTCCCTACAAAAAAGTTACCTATTTTTAATGTTAGGACTTGGGTTCAACAGACTAGTCTACTAATATTTAGTTGAGCGTAGATCAAAACAGACTGTCAATTGACATGATTATTTAATTACAGGTCAAAATGAATCAAGGTTATTAATTATGCATCTCATTTTTAATTGTTATACATTAAATTAATTTGTAGTCTGTTGCGCATAAGACGTTTTTATCAAAACCTGTAAACGACAGGCTTACTTCAGTGTGATACACCATTATATATATCTGTAGTGAGATTAATCATTCTATTGATCTTGTATTTTTTCTTCTTTTGATCATTTCAGCTCATTACATTATTTATTAGCTATTCAATAATTAGTTTTAATGGGAAACAACCCATGAACAACAAAGGGATGTAATTCTAGTTTTCCGCTTAAGTAGGTACAAGGGCCTTTAATGTTAATTGCATTGGAATTTGTGCTGAAATTTTAAAAAAATATATTCCTTTGAGTGTTAAATTTAGAATGTTGTAAGCTGTTTTGAGGGGTTGTTCATAAATGACATCACAATTTTTAAAAAATAATTGTTTACACCTTTATTGTCACAAAAAGCCAACACCTACCTAACGTGAAGTCAGAGTTCTACAAAAATTAACGTTCTCATTAATTAGTTTTATTATGAAAATTGAATAAATGCTACCCCCCCCCCCCCCCAATTAAAATACTGCACCACCCACTAGCAGGAATGTGATGTCAAATATGGACCAAAAAATTTTAAAAAATAAAAACAGCACAAAATCAATGTTGCTAGAAGTGCTATGATAACTCAACATTTTTATAGTGAAAATGGTCTACAATATTCAGGCAGAAGCCAGATTTTTACTGTTTATGGAAAGCGTTTGGTAAATTTAAAAATGACTATTCTTGTGCAGCTAGTTTGGAGCCCATACATGTTTACTTACATGTTAAATAACTTTTTAAAAAAGCTTGTCAAATCAGTTGAAAATAAATATTTAAACATTGTTGTTACCTATGCCACTTCTGAAATTTTCAGTGTTTAAGGATGTAAACATGGGCGGGGTAAACAGCCACTGGCTCTACAAAATTTTGTGGATAGCTGAAGATATGGATCGTAGAAGTTTATGCAATCATGTAGAGATATGGAATAGGTTGGGAAATGTTGTTCACATGTGCCTACAGATAGGTTGAGTTGATCTGTTACATTATTTGTTGTGATGGGAGGTTTGTTGCGATGGAGGTTTGTTGGGTGGGAGGTTTGTTGCGATGGAGGTTTGTTGGGTGGGAGGTTTGTTGCGATGGAGGTTTGTTGTGATGGGAGGTTTGTTGCGATGGAGGTTTGTTGGGTGGGAGGTTTGTTGCGATGGAGGTTTGTTGGGTGGGAGGTTTGTTGCGATGGAGGTTTGTTGGGTGGGAGGTTTGTTGCGATGAAGGTCTGTTGGGAGAAAGGTTTGTGATGGGAAGTTTGTTGCAATGAAGGTTTGTTGGGAGAAATGTTTGTGATGGGAGGTTTGTTGCGATGAAGGTTTGTGATGGGGTAGGTGGATGCCATTGTCAGGCTAGAAGTTTTGGAACTTCTGTGGCCACGGCCTCAGTGCGTCTTAAGAAAAAGTTCTGTATATTAGTTTTTAATTAAAATCTCATTTTTGGTTGTTTTGTACAGAAGTGGAACAAGTGATGGGGTGAAAGAAGAAGAAATAAATTTAGAAATTTTAATAAATATTTGACTATGTACATAAACATTTCATGAAATAATAAAATAAAAATACTGTTACTTGTATGGGGTCTAGTTTTAATCTGTCATAAATGTGTTGTTCTAGTTTGTCGTGTGTGTCTTACATGTGTTTATGACCTGCACATTGGCAACATCTGTATTGCAAATTATTGTGAAAATGGGCCTATAGTTTATTATAGAATAAAATCTAAATTAGGGTAAAGCACTCGTCTTAGCTAGTCTAGTGTGGAGTACCCTGCCCTAGTCGATACGATAGTGTTGGGATACCTAAACAAGGGAGATCAGTACCACCGCACACGTTTTCTTCCGGATTGACTTGAGATGCGAGGACAGGAGTAGAATCAGATCTAAACTAGATCTAGTCTAGATCTAACTCCTTGATCTAAATTTTAGTCCAGATGTAGATCTAGAGTCTAAATTAATAGAACGAATATTGCAAAGGTATAGATCTAGATTCTAAACAAATAGTTTGGCCTAAATAAATTCATTTCCTAGACTTTAGTTCCAAGGTCCATTGATAATTTTTTGATATTGATTTGAAACTGTTAGTTAGGCCTAGCAAAGTTTTAAGTTTTAAGTTACATTTAAAAATGTTTTGCTTCTTACTTCTTTCTTAGTTTATAATAGTTTCTTAGGCCCTAAGTTAGGGCTAGGGTCTTAGCTTAGGCCAAATATCTAGATTTCTTGATCTAGATATCTAGATCTAAACCTAGAATTTAGATCTGGATTCTATCTAGATCTACTCAGATCTAGATTCTAGACTTTACTTTAGCCTATCTTCTATATTAATATTTGTCAAAAATTATTTGTATAAAATTAAAAGGTTTTTTTTAAGTTTTGTGACTTGTGTACACACTAGCCTCTCTAGGTCTACTCTAGATAATAGATATTATTAGATATCTAGTAGGTTTAATTATGGATTTTTTTAAATAAAATATTCTGTTATTTCAAATACACTATTAAGTTCCTTACCCCTTAAGAGAACATTTGACACCACATTTAAATATCTAGCTTACTCAGTTGACGAGAAAAGAGAGAATTTTAAAATTTGTCTAGAATGGAAAATGAATGACAAAACCCACGTTCTCGATCCCTGCCGGCATGGCATGACGTCGTGAACTGGTGTGCACAAGTTTTTTAAGGGGTGTGTCAACTTAGGTTATTTACTCACCGGAAAATAACAAAAAAAAAACCAACTGATTGATAATAAAACTAGATCTAGTTATTTATGAAATTGGTAAAGGAAAATGTACATTACAAATTCTACTCTACATGTTATTCATACCATTTTTTATGAAATAATGAACACTTGCATAACTCAAATTACCATAAAAAATATTTTTATTTCAAATTCTAATTTTATTAAATATGCTTAAAATAATATGATTGTTATGATAGTCTATAAATACAAGAAATAGGCCTAACTCAATTCACATTATATTGAGTCAACAGTGTGGAAGCTGAAGTTCATACACGGTATTAGTGTCTTTTTTTTTTTACATTACATTTTTTTCATATTGAAAACGTGACGTGTAATTTTTTTTTAATAAAATCTCCAAACATCGTCACTCGCATGATTGCTTGCTTATGTTTACTATCCCGCGGTGAAAAATCCCACCACGGTCGAGGGGTCACTGTGCGGTCAGCAGGCCTGTAGTACACGTCATAGAATGAACACGCGTACACGAGATCGTCGGTGTCTTCACTTCTCTCTCTCTCTTCCCCCCCCCCCCCCCCTTCTTCAAGCAAATTATAATAGAGTAGAGCCGAATGGATACAAAACTAAGACTAATTTTAAAACTTAGCTTAATTTTTTTTGTCTACTCTCTTAAAAGATAAAGCAAATGTAGTTTAATGTAGTAAGGTAAAGTAATTTAAATATTCAATATCAACTTGAAGTCGATCTATCTTGATAAAATCTGTCAAGAAAAAAAAACGATAAAAGATCTCCATCCTGAACTTAAACCAATTGTAATTTTAACAAACGAAAATGATGCTCGCGCACATTTTTTTAAACTAGATCTACGTCTAGCTTTAAAAATAATAAACACATAAACGCTTAAAATGCCCGTAAACAGATTATTTAGCGCCAAAAAAAAAAAAAGGCCGCTGAACAAGCATTGTTTAAAATACGCAGCAATGAAAAAGGCTAACGGCCTATCAAATAAGTCTAAAAATCGCCCGAAATTAGGCCTAGCTCTGAAAAAGGCCACTGAACGAGCATCACTGATTATATAAACCAGGGGTCTCCAAACTACGGCCCGCGGGCCGCATGCGGCCCGCGAGGTCATCTCATCCGGCCCTTGGAGATCTTTTAGTCCACGGAAAAAAATGTTTGTTGTAGGTGGCTGAGGTAAAATGCCACCCGAATGAGATGACTGGAAGAAACTCTGGCCCCCGAACTTATATTTGATGGTTAATGCGGCCCTCAGGCTGAAAAGTATGGAGACCCCTGATATAAACGAATAGGCCACGCAGCGTTGACGAGGTTAACCACCGGTCACGAATTAAATTCAATGCAGCTACTGTCGGCCAACAGTGAAGAAAAAAAAATCAATATAGGCCATATTTTAATAAAATTACTAATACAATAATAATTTCCACAATTTTACTTTTTCTGCACACGCTACAGTTGAATTATAATTAAAATACTAGACTTAAAGGTTCATTCCGCAAAAAACAAAAACTAGTTGTTTCTGTGAGGTAACTAGCGTAACAATGACGTCACGATAGTAAACAAAGCGGACAGAAATTTCTGCATGGGTACCTCATCCTCATATTCGATTTTTAAAAAATGTATCAACATATCTGTAATTAATCATTATAAATATCTCAATTATATATTTCTGCATTTGTACCAGGGGGTTTCGACCATGTACTGGGCCGTTTAAGGCGGCAGTTCAGTTTTTCCCAAGAGTACTCGACAAAAATAGCGTGTATTAATTAAAACCACGTATCTCGTGAATATTTCGAACATTTTAAGGCATGGCGTCCATTTAGTTAGCATCTCACATTAAAATAATGATGAGATTTTGCGATATTAGCAGTTTTTTCATTTGTCGTGTAACGGACCCCTAAAAAAAACGAAAAAAACGAAAAAAACGACGAGTGACGTTTCAGGGTCAGAGGTCATCCCGCCATCTCAGCCAGGAGACGATCTAATATCTAGGCCTAATAGTCTAGTAGTTAATTACTAAAATACTAGTCAACTAAGTTTAACTAACTAGATTAACAAGAGACACAATGAGAGAACATATTAAAATAGTTAGGTATAAAAATAGTGTTTATAAAAACTTTTAGGCTTTTACTAAAAAGTAGTTTAAGGACCTAGCTACTGAGGCTTTTAATTTTTGTAAAGTCTTACTCACTCTTAACGTCTTATATCTTAGTCTTAAATCTTAATGAAATAATTGTTGACTATTCTAGATCTAGATTCTAGTGCCCCCCCCCCCCCCAGCCTATTTTTATAGGCCTACTTTTATTATTTGCCTTAGAATCCAGATTTTTAAAACTTTACAGTACAGTGTGTAAAGTAAAGGACTGTAAAATGAAAACTGTAAAGTTTACTGGACTTCACTCTTACGCTAATTCACTAATTACGTTATTATAGAGTGCCTATTCATGGTGAACTACCAATAACCTTCAAAGTTCAAACTCTATTACTATTTTGCTATGTTTAACTGGCCAATCATGTTATCTTTACAAGGTACGCTGCACATACACATCTTTTTTTATCAGTTTGCGTATAACATTGAACTTTTGATAATGTGGCAATGGTCATAGTGGTTAAACTTAAGGCAGATTGTTTTTGAGGAGTGGGTTCTATTCTTTTGGCTCCGAGTTTTTTTCTATTTTACTTAGTAAATAACGACTGTTTGCTAACTAGGATTAGTGATAAGGTTAGATCTAAAGATTTAAACCTACATCTAGTATAAATAAAGGAATTACAGTTCACAGAAAATAATTCTTTGCTGTGATTGGTCAGTGAACAAAAAAAACCTTCTTTGGCAAATGGTAGTGAGCCATGAATATCCACAGCCTTATCGTAACCGTAGTAAGTGATTAAACTACTATCATAGGCTAAACGGTGTTTAAGAAAAGTCTATAGGTAACCTGTTGCAGAGGTGTAGTGACCGCTCCCAGGGACAAACTTTCAATTTGTCGTCGTCCCCCCCCCCCCATATATTTTTTAATGTTTATAATTCAAAACTGCAGCTATAATGAGCTTTTAATTTTTTTTCAACTCATTCAACCTTTTGTCTTGATAAAAGTATTAAAAATATTACAGACATTTCTATTGTTAAATAAGCTCAAGTTTAGGTGGAAAGTAAGAAATAATGCTTTTGTTGAACATATTTTGTGCAGATAAAAGATGGATGCCCCACCAAAAGAAGTAGCTTTTGTCAAGCTACTGAAGGGGTACAAGAGAAAGCTGATGGAAGCGTTATACATTCAGTGGCAGGCTGGCCAGCACTGTGATTTGTTCATCCACACCCTGGACAAAATAGTCGCTGTACACTGCTGCGTTCTCTCAGCCTTCAGCTCCAAGATTGAGTCTCTCGTCACCAAACAAACATCTTCCTTGGTTGACCCCAACAACTGTTACGCCATCGAGGTCACTTTCAGCCACGTTGCTATAGAAACTTTAGTGACTGCTATTTACACTGGCGTGTTCCAGCCAGCCGTAGCTGACTTACAAGAAATACAAACAGCCGCTGAGTGGTTTAACATCACAGAGGTACTTGAGCTTCTACAGAATTATTTCGAAGCGAACATTTTAGCTGTGCCTATAAAAATTGAAAGTGAAGATTTAGAATTAAATGCGTGGGATGTTTCTACTTTACAAGACTTGCCTAGCACGGGCCAGATATCTTATCCTATGCCCACTCATGGTGTTAATGGCAGGAAACAAACTAATATAGATTTAAACAGAGAAGTCATCATAAAAATAGCTAGACTGGACGATATGTATCCGGAAGTGTTTGAAAAGCAAGGGTTTGTAAGTGTGAGCAAGACAAAGATGTCAAAAACAAAACAAGTTCAATTCAAAAGAAAGAAGAGCCAGACGAAGGAAGATTTACAAACTGATGACACCTCTTCTGAAAATGTGAAAAGAAAACGAGGCCGACCCAAAAAGTCTAAGGTGGTTGATTCTGAGAACAACAATCAAAATAAAAACAATCAAGAAATAATATCTATAGCAGCGGAGCAGCCAAACTTAGAACAAAGTCAAGAGAAACCTGATAGCCACTGTGAACCTGACCAGGCAGAAACAGTTGAGGTAACTTTAGTTACATTTGCCTTTTTGTAAATGTTATATAGCTGGTAATACTATCTGCTAGAGCTGTTCTATCAAGTTAAATTCTAATTGTGATGGTGTTAACTTCTAAAAACAAAGGCAGGACATTGTCCAGTCTAGTTTGAATTGTGTGGTAGAATGGTAAAGCGCATTATTGCAAACCTAATAGTCTCAAGTTCAGATCCCAGACGAGTCCATGGGACATCCCTGAGTCCACCCAGCTCTGGGCACATGTCTAGGCACATGTCTAGGCGCATGTCTAGGCACATGTCTAGGCACATGTCTAAGGTTAGAATTGTTTCAAATGTTGTGGTCACAGAAAAAGGTGAACTGTTATTCATCAACCACCACACTATGTGAAATACCCTGGTGTTGTGTACTCTGTATTATTATGTACTTTTATCTTATGTACTGTCTTGTAAAGTTGTCAATGTTATTTACCAGCACTCTGTTAACCTGAATAATTGTGGACAGGTGAAAAGTTTCCCTTTCAAACCTGACGGTCTATGGGGCAAGTGAAGTAGAGTTCAATTGTTTCTGTGACCTCGGCATATGAAGAGATAGTGTGGTCGGCACTATGCCCAGCCGCCTTTACTTTCCCTAACAGGAGTTAGGTACCCATCAGAGTTGGGTGGACTCAAGGACGGTCTACTGACTTGAACCCGGATTTGAACTTGAGACTAACGGGTTAGCAGTCCAGCTCTCTACCGCTAGACCACTCTGTCCCACTATTGTGGACAGGTTACAGACACCAATGTTTTCCAGGTTTACTGCCTCAAGTTCTTGCGAATCAATTACAAAAAAATCTTTTAACCTCTCACAATTATTTACTGTTGCTAGATTAAGACCATCTATGCTACACTGCTATGTATGACATTTTAGTTTATTTGTTGTTTTTGCAGGCTCCAAGTACTAAGCTTATAACGTACAGAGAATTAAAAGATGGGATGGTGAAATGTATCCTGTGCTATGAAAAATTCATGAGCATGGATGAATACGCTAGGCATGATCACAAAAGTCCATCCTACAAATGCCACTTATGTCACTGTGTATTCTATCGCAATTTCAACTTGACCAAGCACTTCAGAACAGCACACACCAACCAACCACACCTCGTGTGTCGCTTCTGTGGTCTAAGGTGCAGTGGTGAGACTGGGCTGAGAAGACACACGTCAGCCGAGCACAACGAGGACAGGCCGTTTGCGTGTGAACAGAGCGGGTGTAGTTTTAAAAGCAGGAAGTACGACCATCTCCTGAAGCACAAGCTCATACACAGCAATACGAAGCTTTTCAAATGTGCCAAGTGCGGGCAAGCCTTCTCCCAGTCCGCTGGTCTTTTAAGCCACCAGAGGGCGTGTTACCGTACCCAGTCGTACCTTTGTGATCTGTGTGGTCAAAGTTTCAACCATGCCTCCGGTCTTAGTGTCCACAGACGAGCCGTCCACTTTAAGGAGAAGCCCTACCTCTGTTCCAAATGCTCTCACACATTCAGCGACCACCGAAATCTGCGCAGGCACATGCGCATCCACGAAAACAGTTTCCCGTATTCATGCCCAGAATGCTCAAAAAAATTCCGGCATTCGAATTCCTTGAAGGCCCACGTAGCGTCAAAACATAAACATTTGAAGAATTTTGATATCTCCCTCATCACAGCAACCACGCTGCAGTGCAACAAGCTTGGAGGCGCCAGCTACAAGAGAAAGCTTCAGAGATACGATGAGATGTTTGACCTTGAACTTGTATTGGACGAGTCGAAGAGAATTGAGCAGTTCACGTGTGGGTCCCCGTCCACACTAGTGGACATAGAGAACAGCAGTTTTTCTTTGGAGAGCATCACTGACCAGCGCGAGCTGAGTGCCGATGCCTCAGCTGATGAGGCCTCAGCCCCGGCGCCGAAGGGAGACTGCATGTTTTCTAGGAATTCCCCAGCAAGCCAGGGTCAGCTGCCTGGTCACTTGACCCAGCCTATGACCATAGTGACCGCAGCATCCCCCACCCCAGGCATCAGCACTGCTCAGACGCAAGTACAGGCGAACTTGTTGAACAGTGTCATGGTGTTGAAGGAAAGGGCAGCTAAAACTGAAGCTCCGAGTCTCAAACTTTTGGCGTCTGGTTCGCCCACTAGAGTGGTTGGGTCAGCTTTGAACTGTCATTCACAAATAAATACGGTTGGGTCAGCTTTGAACAGTCATTCACAAACAAATATGGTTGGGTCAGCTTTGAACAGTTATTCACAAACAAATAGGGTTGGGTCAGCTTTGAATGGTATTTTACAAACAAAGGTGGTTGGGTCAGCTTTGAACAGTCATTCCCCCACAAAGATGATTGGGTCAGCTTTGAACTGTATGCCACAAACAAAGACTGGGTCGTCTGCGGACATTGAGGGGCCACCACTGAGAATGACCAATGCACCCCAAGTAGCTGACCGCTCACCCCTGATAGCCCAGTGGACTGAAGTGATAGGGATCTTCTCGCCTTCCAGCTGTTAACTGCTCATCTTGGTCGGACAACAAAACACACTGTTCAGAGTTTAGCTGGCCCTATTGGTTGGACAACAACCCCTGATAGCCCAGTGGACTGAAGTGATAGGAATCTTCTCGCCTTCCAGTTGTTAACTGCTCATGCTGGCCATCTTGGTTGGACAACAATACACACTGTTCAGAGTTTAGCTGGCCCTATTGGTTGGACAACAATACACACTGTTCAGAGTTTAGCTGGCCCTATAGGTTGGTCAACAATACACACTGTTCAGAGTTTAGCTGGCCCTATTGGTTGGACAACAATACACACTGTTCAGAGTTTAGCTGGCCCTATTGGTTGGACAACAATACACAGTTCAGAGTTTAGCTGGCTCAGATTAGCTCATCAGCTGGAGAGAGTCTGAAGGAAGATTTAGATATACTGGACAGGGTATACCAGGTTCTGAATAGTTAGGGGTCTAGTTGTATGTTGAAGCTACATTTAGCTGTGGTTGATGTGCTTTAAGGTACAGTGGTGCTAGGGTAGTCTGACACCCCAATGTAAGTTTGTATATGAGCTGTAGGGTGTCAGATCAAGGCTAGCTACATTACACCCTAATGTAAGTTTGTATATGAGCTGTAGGGTGTCACATCAAGACTAGCTATATTACACTTACACCCTAATGTAAGTTTGTATATGAGCTGTAGGTTGTCACATCAAGGTTAGCTACATTACACCCCAATGTAAGTTTGTATATGAGCTGTAGGGTGTCACATCAAGGCTAGCTACATTACACCCCAATGTAAGTTTGTATATGAGCTGTAGGCTGCCGGATCAAGGCTAGCTACATTACACCCCAATATAAGTTTGTATATGAGCTGTATGGTGTCAGATCAAGGTTAGCTACATTACACTTACACCCCAATATAAGTTTGTATATGAGCTGTAGGGTGTCACATCAAGGCTAGCTACATTACACTTACACCCCAATGTAAGTTTGTATATGAGCTGTAGGCTGCCGGATCAAGGCTAGCTACATTACACCCCAATATAAGTTTGTATATGAGCTGTATGGTGTCAGATCAAGGTTAGCTACATTACACTTACACCCCAATATAAGTTTGTATATGAGCTGTAGGGTGCCAGATCAAGGCTAGCTACATTACACTTACACCCCAATGTAAGTTTGTATATGAGCTGTAAGGTGCCAGAACAAGGCTAGCTATGTTACACCCCTATATCACAGTTACAGTGTGTATATTATTGTACAAATAAGGCACAACCATAGAGAAAGACTGATCTTAGTTATAATCAAATGTGTAAGCCTACATGTCTTTCCAACCTGTTAAATCATTGAATGATCCACCTGTGAGCTTATTGAAATTTGATCACCCGGACAGGATTAAATCAATCATTAGTAAAGTCTCTGTACTGTGTATTGATTTGTATTGATCTGTTTGAAGCGGTATGAGTATCACAACATGCAGAACTGTAGTGATGGTGTACAGAATTGGTAATTAATGAACCAGCTATTTGATGATGCATGCACCAGCTGTTAATGTTGATGGTTGACTTGTTTCATTTATTAAATCATGTTTTTTTACTTACAAGTGTCATTTTTTACTTTCTCGTATATACGAAGTATAGAGAAAGTATTGTAATCGTGCACAAAAATCACTTGAAATTTTAACAATTTTCACCGTATTACACCTCAGTCCTTCATCACATCCGAAGTATAGAGGACTTATTTTAATCGGGCAAAAATTATCAATCCAGATTTATCAAAGTTAAGAGGTTTTATGCGTAATCCAGTCAGAAAAACTGGGCTTTGCAATTCTGTCCGTATGTCTGTGTGTCTGTCTGTGTGTCCGTGTGTAAATACGATAACTTGAGTACCGTTACAGCTAGGCTGGTGAAATTTCATATATAAGTATTTTATCAAAATCGTAGATCCGTATCAACTTTTGAGAGATTTCTGATAACCGGAAGTGGTACGTTTTCTACTTTGAAGTTTTCAAAAGCCTATAACTTGAGTACTATTTCAGATAGATAAATGAAATTTCACACGTAAGTAAAAGATCTAATTCTCTACCTTCTGTTAAATTTTGAGTAATTTCAGTTGACCGGAAGTAGTAATTTACGCTACTTCCGATTTCTAAAAAAACTAATGTAAATTTTTAAAGTACTAATAATATTGCGCACTATTATGCACTTTTTTATTTGGCGTTCGCTTTGTGCGCAATTTTTTTTGTCTACGAGATTTTATTCTATTTTTAAAACTTTAAGTATTTTAAAATGTATTAAAAATCATGTCTATAGCCCGAGTTCCCATCCCCTGTTGTCTTATATAAGAATATTCGAGAAAGTTTAGGGGAGATCACTCCCGGTTTATTTATCTTAATGAACTTAATGTTAAAAATTATCAAGTCAGTTTTAGTGTACACATCACAAGTAGCGTGTTTTCCGCTGAACAGGTTGTTTTGTTACTCCATGCTCCTCATATACACAGCCTAATTTCCGTCACCTGGTTCTCACCTAATATAGCAATTGATCACTTTTTGTCTGCCCAGTTCATCCCCTTTTTCTGTTTTGAGACAGTCTATCGTTCTTCGCCCCCTGTCTTCCTCAGTCACGACATTTATCAACCCACCGTATTGAATCATCCTTCCTTCATTGCTTCAGTCAATACATGTATCAACAATGCCTTAGTCCGTTTGTTTATCAACCCACCGTATTGAATCAACCTTCCTCCCATCCTTTCAGTCAATACATTTATCAACAATGCCTTAGTCCGTTTGTTTATCAACCCACCGTATTGAATCATCCTTCCTTGCTTCAGTCAATACATTTATCAACCTTGCCATAGTCCGTTTGTTTATCAACCCACCGTATTGAATCATCCTTCCTCCCTTACTTTCAGTCAATACATTTATCAACCTTGCCATAGTCCGTTTGTTTATCAACCCACCGTATTGAATCAACCTTCCTCCCATCCTTTCAGTCAATACATTTATCAACCTTGCCATAGTCCGTTTGTTTATCAACTCACCGTATTGAATCATCCTTCCTTCCTTGCTTCAGTCAATAAATTTATCAACCTTGCCATAGTCCGTTTGTTTATCAACCCACCGTATTGAATCAACCTTCCCCCCCCCCTTCCTTCCTTAAGTCAATACATTTATCAACATTGCCTTAGTCAGTCCGTTTGTTTGTCGAACCCGCCTCACTATATCAATACATTTAGTTAACACATCCCATATCCTGTTCAAACAAGCAGTAAAAAACCAACCTATTATTAGATCTACTACTAACAGCAAGAACCCCAACAACACAGAGCTGTAGCACTCTAGCTGGGTGGTCAAAATGTTTGAAAACGGCGGCTGGACATGACACATGTGAAGATAGCAATGTAGAATGGACGGTGGTAACTAGTGCCCCACACTGGAAGCTTTCTACGTCAGCCTCTCTAGCTGATTGAAAACTGAGTAAAACCCTAAATAAAGATCTAATTTAATCTAAAACATTTTTCTTTCATTGTCCCCAAGACACACGGGGACAGGTGAAGTAGAGTTCATCTGTTTAAATTACCTCGGCATACAAACAAGGTGATAATATTTTCAGCACTATGCCCCGCCTCCTTTGTTTCCCCTAACATGAGTTAGGTACCCATCAGAGATGGGTGGACTCCGTGACGTTATACTGATTTGAACCCAGATTCGAACTAGAGACTTTCGTGTCTATCTACCCCCACCCAACCCCTTTTCTTTCATGACCCAGTACAATTTCCAGGTTTTTCTCTGGAGACCAAATCGCACATTAAAATATTTATAATCACGATTCGTGTCATGAGGGGATAAAAGTGTTAAGAGCTGTATGGTAACCCAGTGTGCGCACCATGGCGCGTACGTCAGTGTGCTCAAATGTACCCAGCGTACACCCATGCTGTGCACAACTACACGTGTGCTTAAATGTACCCAGTGTGCGCACCATGGCGCGTACGTCAGTGTGCGCAAATGTACCCAGTGTACACCCCTGCTGCGCACCACGACAGAGTGGTCAAATGTACCCAGTGTACACCCATGCTGCGCACCACTACACGTGTGCTCAAATGTACCCAGTGTACACCCATGCTGCGCACCACTACACGTGTGCTCAAATGTACCCAGTGTACACCCATGCTGCGCACCACTACACGTGTGCTCAAATGTACCCAGTGTACACCCATGCTGCGCACCATGGCGTGCACGTCACTGTGCTCAAATGTACCAAGATGATGTGATACTGAGATATGCAGGGGAACATGCTATGACATTGTTTGCCTATGTACATGGCTGTTTTTACTGTCCGGAGGTAGTGGAGGAAGGGGGGGGGGGGTAGATACGTACTTGAGAATTGAAACGTCCCGCACATGTCGTGCCCAATCAATATTTCGTCTGCTGGTATTGATTTAGTTAGTGGTTTGTAATTACAATTTACATGTCAGATTTCTTGTCTACATCTGTTGCTCCGTTAAACCAATTAATTAAACAATTTTTTTTTTGTTAAACAGTAATTCCTACTTGATTTAAAAATGGACGGTTTATTGCCCTAGAAAAATAAACTTTAGGACGGGCTTCATGGAAGGGGGGGGGGGGGGGTTTACGACGACTAGCCCATGAAAAGCAAACAGTGAAATGGCGTCATTTTATTTTTTAAAATATTTTTCTTTCATCCAAAACAAACCAAAAAATATGTTGCTAAGGTTGCCACCATAAGATGTGTTCGGGAAGAGTTACTTAGCAAAATGCGAGTAGGCCCTTGATGGTCTATAAATAGAACAATCGTCGTTCGGAAAAGTCAAGTCCTGGGATAGATGCTGTAAATCACACGATGATTCCTGAAAGTAACCTCCAAACCTAATGGTCCATGGGGCAGATGAAGTAGAGTTCACCTGTTTCTGTGACCTCGGCATAGAAAGCGATAGTGTGGTCAGCACTATGCCTAGCCCCCTTAAATTTCCCTAACGTGATCCAGGTACTCATCAGAGCTGGGTGGACTCAGGGACGACCAAGTGACTCTTACTCGAGATTCGAACTCGAGACTTTAGGTTTAG